CGGTGTTCGAAAGTCTTCCTGTTGTTGTCGATCAAAAAGGAGGGTGAAATCAGCCTGTATTTGCAAGGTCCCTCCTCCATTTCCACTGCCCAAGTAAGTATTTGTCAAGTCAGCCAAAAATCACAGGGTGAAATGGGTGAGGCGGACATCGCTTTTCTGCTGGAGAACCCGCTGTGGGCTTGGCTGCAGCTATCAGCAGAGGTTGAGCTTCTTGTCCCACCATTCGCTCGCAGTTATCAGTTGGGAAGCTGGTAGATATTTTTGTGGCCCATCTCCGCCTCGCCTGTTGAGATCTCAGATCTCGAAGGAAAGTCCAACCAATAGACAGTCAGGCTGGGGCGGACTCTGTCCATGGGCACCAACCGTTAGTGTTAGTCACCATACAGCAGGCGTATTCAGACCCATAATATGAGTACTGATATGGCCATACTTAGTTGAGGGATGCAACGAAAGTTACGGACCCCCCGTACATAACTAGTTAGTTTGGTAGTGGACTGGCGTAATCGTTTGGCTTTTTCTTTGGCTTTCCCTGTCCTTCCGAACGATGTTCCAAGTTGACGCAGAGTCGGAGATTCCGTCCAAATGCAGTACCTTCCTTGCCTTTTTAATCCCGAGCATCCAGTATAGTCAACATGATGGACCCAGCGTATTGATTTGTTCTCATCGCTCCGTTGTTTCCAATGGATTTTACATCCCCCCTGAGAGTTATCCCAAAGCGCCGGTTAGGGGGGATTGCTGGCCCAAAAAAAAAAAAAAAAAAAAAAAAAAAAAAAAAAAAAAAAAAGAAAAAAGAAAAGGAGATCCTAGACCATGATGATAAGCAGCTGCCAGTGGCGGAGAACAAATAATAATGAATATGGAACAACTGACAATCAAGGAGGTCAAGAATAATGAGCCAGATTCCTGGTGCTGTGAAGTAAGTATCTGGTTCAGCAAACGCAACTGGCCAGGAGGCGGTGGAGCTTTTTCTTGTGGTTTCTGTGGTCACCGTTGGCGATTGGATCCTTCGCCTTTTCCAGTCCCCTTCCCCGAGGTCTGACTCCTGGTGCTTGCGTCCTCAGGGAGGGTCGACCTAGGCTGAGTTTTGGTAAGACGCCGTCGAGAGGTCTAAGCAAAGTATCGTTTCGTTCGTTACGTTGTGTTTATGGGCGAATGACGCACTGGCGAGGCTTGAGATCGCGGCAAAAGATGGGATTTACCACAGACACACGATGCTGACCAAATAAATTCGATCACTTTTGGTCTTGGGCCAGACGCTTCATTTCTTCACTTTCTCGTTGTTTCTTTTTCATCTCGTCCTCTCTTTCTTTTTTACACCTGCTGTTTTTGTGCTTGCTGGCTCATACGTCGAAGCTGGTTGCGGCATGAATGGTGGCACAGTAGCAGCAAGCGGATACGCACTCATTACGCATATGGATGATGAACGACTTTGGAACATGTACTCTGTATGAGAGCCAGCCAGGATAACCAGTTTTAGTGTCGTTGCTCGGTGTCTTATCGATGCTCCATGCTAGGCATTTTGGCCAAAAATTTACATAACCTTGAGACTGCTGGTTGCTTCTGTTGGCTTGTTTGTTCACTTCGTGTAAACTCCGTATATACACACAATCTTCGGACTATGAGCATGGGCGGTCCACCTAGCAAGTAAATCCTGCCACTATGACAAGGATAAAGTCCAACACTCCAGCGGCATGACCATTAAGGCTCGGGGTGAATGACTGGCCTGAAGACTCTGGTTGTGAGCAGGGACGAGAGAAAGCTGATCACTCCGCCGCCATCCTCAAACATGGGACGAGAAGCACCCTATTGGAGGCACAAATGACTTTCCGCTGTTCCTGTCTATATGTATACACTGGTTTTGACGGCTGTCGCAAGAGGTTTCATGTTTTCTTTTACTCCGTACGAGAAATCGGTCATTTGGAGGCTGGTTAGTTAACGAATATTAATATGGGGGTAACAGGCGATGGGCGACAGCGGCCAACTAGCGCTCAAAGACTGGAAGCGGTTTTGTTACAGCCTCCTTTTTTGCGCACTTCGCATCCCCCCCAAAGCCGAAGAAAGACCATGCAGGAGACTCAGCCAGCTCCAGCCTCCAGGATCATAGGCGAGCGACAGCGAACGGAGGTCTTAGGTTTGCTGTCTTACCTCAGGGTCTGCCTTCGCGCTCCTGTTCTTCGTCACATTTCGTACAGCATACGTACCCAAGCGAAAAGAGGCAAACATGACGCCGTGGGGGGGCGGACTAAAATGGTCCTGTAAAGAAAAAAAAAAAAAAAAAAAAAAAAAAAGTGATATATGCTTGCAGATTAGAGCAGGCCTGGATAAAACCGCTGTGCCGGGAAGAGCAATGTGTTTTATTTTCTCTTGCTTCTTCCTGTGCCGTCCCGTTGACGTGGTTTGCCCTTGGGTGCTCGAAAGGGAAAGGGCCACATGTGTTCTGCTGAGATTATAATTAGTACTCCTTAGCCTTCTCACCCTTTATCCTCAATAATCAATATCGTCCCAAAGATGGTCAAAAATTCTCAGCCGGATGGGGGAGGGGTACGCCGGCAGGTGTATCTCATTAATTACGCCAACTGAGCGGACAGGGCCCTTGCCTTGTCGCCTGAGATTGATTCGTATCGCCAGCGTAAAAGGGAGGTCACGTCATACACATATGCTGCAGAAGAAGGACTACCGTTTACATCGAAGCATGTATACGGACGGAGTAGCGGATTCAGCTAAACACCCCAGCGATGGGGTTTCGCAGGGAGTTAAAAGGACATGCCGGCTGCGAAAGACGATGGTCGGTGGAGGAACGAGCAACGAACAGAAGCGCTGGGGTGCCAGGAGATCCTCACCTGCTTGTGTCGTGGTGGCTCGTACTCCGTAAAAGGCGCCCAGATCAGCCTTTCTTCTTTTCATGTCTTTGCCGTGTCACCACTTTTTAATTCGCTATCTTGCGTGTCGTTGTATCGTCTCATCCTGATCCATCCCCTTCATGCGAAGCAAAAGACGAGTATGGTGAAACACAAGACATCCACAAGTCAATCACTTCTCCCAGCATTACCATTCTCAACGTCGAGCTGTCGGTTCAGCATAGTGAGAGTGTCGTGGATGGGCAAGAGAAAGTGTGGGTAGAGGAGCCCGTTAGTTTGCTCTGGGTTAACTAGCCTCTCTGATATCAAAGCTGACCGTATACTATCGCTAGCCGGTCAGTGTACCGATATCAAAGAATGAGACAAGACCATTTGCCCCAAAACCGTAGTAAGGGGCGTTCTGTCCGTTCCGTTACTGTGGTCAAGCAAGTGATGGTAATAATAACATTGTCACGACCAGCCTACATACGAGTGATGCAACGAAGATGCAAGACGCCTTCCAGGCTTCATCCAGGTTGATGAACAGCAAGATCATGAGGGATCTCGGGAGTGTGATACGAGCTGGCTGGTCTCTTGAGATTCCGTTTAGGGCGGCCTCTGACGGACATGCCAAAGCCTTGAGCCTTGAGCCCTTGTCAACAAGTTGATGACTGCCTTAAGACGCAGATTTCGTAAGTATGCATCGTAAAAGTATGGGGAAAGGAAGAGACAGACATGCCTGGAAGCACAAAGGTAAAAGCATAAGCATACTCCATCCTATAGCGATGTATACTTACACAGCCTTTGCTTTTTGCCTTCTTGTCTCTTTCTATCGTTGGCTTTCATGCTTTTTAGTGTTTCTCAAGAACCAGCAAGCCCCTGGTTTTCCCTTGACTCCAGCATCTCAACAGTCGACGCCCAGTATCCAGAATGTGTCCCATCAACCAGGGCTTGCCTCCGCCTATCCATCTTCCTGTGTCTCTGCTGGAGTTGTAGAAGATGCCAGCAAGCAACAAAAAAGTAAAAATAACGATCAGCCGCCTGAGAGGTTTCTTTTTTGTTTCCGGGCCAAACTTCGCCCAAGGGCAAATAATAAAAAATAACTTTGCGTACTGGAGACTTGCATCTTATCCCCCATCGCCATTATTATTTTCTCATCCGGCTCCTGTGCATTTTTTTTTTTTACACTTTCTTTTTGTGCAAAATTAACTAACTGGATGGCTGATGGCAATCCGGTGGCCCAGAGTTAGTGCTTCCAAAGAACGAGGTCAGTGGATCATGGATGTGTGTGGATGGGATGGATGGATGGATGTGACCCTCGGACTGCGTCCAATCCATCCCCTTTCATTTGCGTCTCATTTGCGCGCCGCTTTGCTTGACCTGGGGGCTTTTTATGCCTCGGGCGGTGGTAGATGTATCGATGTTTGTTGCTTGTTCGGTGATGCTCGTCTATGACTTGCCCCTTTCTTTTTGACTCCTTTCTCGTGTCTGCTGCCGGACATGTTTTAGTAACTTCTCATCTCATATCCATGGGCTGGTCGTCCCGCTTGGCTGGCTATCTCCAATCCCCGCCACGGTTCGTCTCGTCTCCTTGAGATGGATTGATTGATTGAACCGTCCGTCCAGAACCTCGCTGTTCTTGCCGAGAGCTTCTTCTTGTGCCCGTTATCCTGTCCTGGGCGTCCTCCTGCTGTTGCTCCACTGAGGGCGGCTTCTATTCCTTTTGCCTTCGTCTTCGTCATGTCCTGCGATGCTTGCCCTTGAGGACATGGACTTATCTTTCTCTTTTCTTTCTTATTCTTCTCATTCTTCTTATTCTCTTTCCTTCATCTTCATGTCAGTGAAGCATTGTTGCTTCACTCTCCTAGTGCAACGGTCAGCAGCATGATCTAGTGATAATCACCGCAGTCACTCAGGGAATTCACCGTCATCCCCAATATTTCTCTATACCTACCTACCTATCTATACCTGTCGTCTCCTCTACATCACTCACTCATGCCTGCCGTCCTCGAAATACCGCCGAACCATTTCCTCCCGTGCCCATTCGGGGCCTCGTCCTTGCCATCGTCGACCTCCAAACCGCTGCTGTTAGATAGAGTCGAGCTCTCTAGGCTTCAGGGGGACCTGCCCAGACAACCATCGAGCTCACGAATAGCTTCAGATATGACGAGAGTGGGGGTTGCTGTTGCGTCGTCGTTGCCGCATCACTATGGAGGCTACTCGCATCCGAGGAGTGACGTTCAAATAGGCGTAGACGGGAGGAAAGACGTCACCGCCTTTAACTACAACAACACCAACAGCTGCAGCAATAACACCTGGAGGGAAGACAGCACCGCACAGCAGACCAGGCCAGCGCAGCGGCAACCGGTGCCACTGATGAGCCAGCATTCCAATATCAACCAGGAGACCTCGTCGAACTCTCCTGTCAAGTCCACGGCTTCCAGCGTATCCAGCCCGCAGCTTGGCTCTTCCACGAGTGGGAACGCGGGCAATCTGGCCGAATTTGCTGCTCAGGTACGCTAAACCGGTCTATACCCATGAGTACTATAGCACATGCTTATGTTGTGTGGTATCTCTATACCTGACGAATACTGACCTGAGTGAAATCTTGCAGGTGGCTTGTTTATTCTGGTTTGCAAAGGCCTCTAAATTGAAGCAGATCGAAGACAGCTCTTCTTCGTATACACCAACTTCACCTCTGGAGCTGGAATTTGTACCAAGCCCGGGTTTCAAGAAATGGGTTACTACGGTACTGACCACTACCCAAGTGAGCAAGAATGTTATTCTGTTAGCACTACTGTTCATCTACCGCCTCAAAAAATTCAACCCCGCAGTACGAGGGAAACGGGGAAGTGAGTTCAGGCTAATGACTATAGCCCTGATGATGGGGAATAAGTGTAAGCATTGCTGCATCGTTATATGTATTAGCTGAGATCGCTAACCTGTGCTTTAGTTCTTGATGATAATACCTACACCAACAAGACCTGGGCGGAGGTTTCTGGTATATCAGTCCAGGAGATACATGTGATGGAAGTTGAGTTCCTCAGCAATGTCCGATATAATTTGTTCGTCACCAAGGAAGAATGGAGCCAATGGCTGGCGAAGCTATCAGTATTCTCAAGCTATTTCGAAAAGGCTTCCAGGCTTTCACTGGATGTTTACTCTGCCAACCAATCTGCTCGTGCTTCACCAGTTCACAGCCCACTAACCCCTGCCATGGACAACTATCGAGCCTCACAGCAGACCGCAAGCCAGGTCTATCCTACTTCGTCACAGGCTGTTAACTCCTCCCAGGCTCGCCTGTCGTTGAGTATCCCTCAGTCAAATAATGCATCCCTCGGCTATGATGACCCTGCATCACATTCGGCAATACCTGTGGAACCATTGAGTGCCCACAGAAAACGCAGTTGGGATGACCAGGCCAACGATAATCCGGCCAAGAGACCAGCAACTGCGAATACGACTTGGGTTAGACCATCGACTCAAGCCCCGTCACAGCTCTATACAGCTTCTCAGTTACCCTCTACCGCGCCTCCTGTCCAGCCTCAGTTACCGACGAGTATCGTTTCTATGCCATCGAACATGGCACCGCAACTTACAAGGCCTCAATCCGGATATTCTATAGGCTCCACAAATCCACCAACCTCTTTAGCGCCGCTTACCGGCACCCAGCCTATTTCTACTGCTCCACGCCCCACGGTTTTCCCGGTCAACAGCACTCCAACTCGTTGGAGTCAGCCTCCTGTTTCACAGCCAACTCTAGCACCATTGCCAGTCACCAACCTGCAACAGAGTGCTGCCGGTGGTTTTCCTGACTCTTCAAGGCGTCCTGGCTCAACCTCATTCCCAGTAACAGCACCTTCAACCACCATTTCACCCGCCGTTCCTGCATATTCAGTTCGCACCCCAACTCACCTTTCGCCTTCTTCTATCCTTTTGGACCGCAACTCCCCCTACCGCCCAGTTCGTTCAGTCAATACTCTTTTATACCCTCCTCCGGCTGGCTCCCTTCTTCAACCGCGGCAGTTGTCGGTTGATTTAATGCGATACCAGCCACTAGGCAAAAGAAGCTCAGAACACCGAGTTGACCGAACTGGTGTTTTACCATATTCCCAGCCTAACATATGGGGAGAACAGTACTTCTCTCAAGTTCAACCAACCACACAAACAACACAATACCACCAAAGCTAATTCACTCTATCTGGATGTGCAGGCCATGCCTTTTGTGCTCCTTCTATCATTGGCCCTTCTTATCTTTCGATTTCCTTATTCTGCATGTTTTTGCTGCATGTTCTCTTTCCTATTTTTTGACATTTTTTATTCTGCATTGCACCGGTGTTCACAGTACTATTAGACAGGGGACCAGAGTGGCTAAAAGCCATCATACATTACATCTGGTATTACTTTTATGTTGTTTATTTGTTACACGATTATTCAGCATTGCGAATTTTGGGAGGTACATATCATTTAAGTTGATTTCTACAGCTGGCTGAGCCCTGGGTTATTTTTCTATATTTTTAACTTTATGCTATCACAGTGATATTTTCGACTTTCTATGAAGGCATTTTGGTTCAGGCATACTTTTTTCTTATATCTCCTCTTTTTGGTGGTGCCTCTTCCAAGGATACTAATTTTCATGAACATTTGCCACGTGTTTTGGGAGGCTATGGTGAATCACAGGGCTTTTTGATTATCCATTTACAGATACCAATTGATACGAATAAAACAGTACTACATTATACTCCATAATTCGGATGATCCAATATGAATACACGTAGTTGGCTCCATCTTCCATAGCTGAACTGCGGAGTGCCTTGAGAGCGACTTATGCGGCGAAATCCGGCAATTTCTTAACCTCTTCACCTAAAAAACGAAGTCTATCACAGTGAGAATATCTGATGACAGTGGGTGGTGCACAATAAACATATTCTGCTACTAAGCGCTTGCATATAGCAAGCCTTCTCATAATGATAGCTATAATTCCTGCCACTGCTAATGTTTAATGTTGACTAACCAGTCATCGAGCACCATACTGGCCCAAATTACAACACCTAGCTTACTGCAAGGTTGGTACGGGCACTTTGACCAAATATCAAGCAACTTTTAGCACCCCAGAAGGCCAGCATTTTAGACTGACCCGACAGACTGAATCCGATGGGGGACCGTCACTTAACGGATAGACACTGCAAAAAACCAAATCAAACCAAGCAAACGCACGACCTTGTGCTATTACCTCAGCCTCAAGTCCAGCGATAGGATGAACCTTGGTGAGATCAGAAGATAGCATTGGTCAGACATAAAGCTGAGGTATGGAGCGAAATGGGCAGCAAGCTGTGCGCAACGGAAACACGGATATGGTTACCAGCATCATTTCAAATTTTCCAATTGACGCTCGTCGTCTTCGTCTGCTATATACCCGAGAAGGCCCGTATTCTCTGTGTGAGAGAATAGCTTTCAATGGCCAAATATGGGAACGATGCATCTACCTGCTTGTGAAAAGTTGAACATAAACTCTGGGATTACCTGAGGCGTTGGGGTGCGGAAGTAACTCACCTTAACATACCAATGCGAAATTGGTTGGCAAAGGGGGATACTGCTCCCTCTCCGCAGTAATAAGGGCGTTTGGGGCCGGCAAATACCTTAGAACGAAACGAACCTCCTCTGGTATTGGACATGTCCTTGACAAAAAATACAAAAAAGAGGAGGAAAACATCCGCAAGTAATGATCGATCTGTGCACAGTGACTCGGCCATATCACCCGTAATGGCAGCTCAGGCCATTAACCCAGGTCCGTCAACCCCACGTTCATGTCGTATGTATAGATGACTACTTATATGACTAGGATGTCTGGGGAGGGATATACGGGATGATTTCACCGGAAATAACTAATAGATTGGTGCTCAGGCAGAAGTCACAGTCTGGCTTTCAAGTGAAAGCAAAAGTGGCTTGCTATATGGATTCTACGCATAGGAACTAAAGAAAACAGTGGCTCTGGCTCTCCTATGTCGAGAGTTAACAATGCCTTGCACCACCGTGCCTTTATAACTCTGGAATACTATTGACAGCAAGAAGATCACTCGTCGTTTGATACCCCTCGGCAGGGGTCATGACGCAGAATATGTTTGAAGACCGCTGTCCCACTAGTTACCCCACGAATGGTCGGAAATCTAGGGCAGTGAGCAAACCTGCTTGGATGATATAGAAAAGTGATGATACATGCCTACTAACATTCCAAGGGCGTCAAATCCTAGGTACCCCGGCCCCTTGAATGGAAATCATAACCAGTTCTCACCTCGCCATCGGAGGTATGCCCGGAATTGATACGTGTCCACGCAAAGATACAAGATCACTCGAATACAAATATTCAACGTACCTATATCGTATGTTATACTTAACCCAGAAGGCCCGACCACCCTCATTATGCCCGTTCGATTTCCTTCCTTGAGCGCGAGGATGTGGTACCTTGCTGAGCATCAGCCTCTTCTCGAGACCAGAGGCCCCCTTTCCTCCCCCGCGCCTCTTTCACTCCTGTACATACATCCAATGAGATAGCCAACCCCATTACTGAGATTTCCAATAAGACGACAGGTATAATATCTCTTGAGCTAAGTACAAGGGACGCTCCATGTTTCTGTGCATTCATTCAATTTGCTTATAGTACGTGATTTCCTCATCCTACTCGTGCTACTGATGTGCACAGGTGCCTTCGTCCGCATTCGTCCCCAATCCCGGCGGGGAACGCGGGAAGTCTTGGGTTAATTGAACAGACACTGTCAACTCCATGCCTGGGTACTATGCTGGCTGACCTACCACCCTCGGATGAAGAGGTTTGCTGCTACCACAACACCCGGCAAGGAAATGAGGAAGCCGACTCAATAATGACACGAAAACGGGACTATCCTTGGGAACACGGTGTTTTAATTAATAAAGACCCCCTGATGGTCCTGTACAAGTTTCCAGAGGCATTCAGACACCGCCACTCAGCGCAAAGCCAACTTTCAATCCAGCCTGCTCACAAGCATCAGTGTCTGCCCTCGCCAAATCCGGGCTTTACAGACCCCTATCTTGAGGGCTGGAGAAGATCTACCGCGCTGCCCCTGGCCGCGTCGTTAAATCTGGGCTGAATCAGGATCGAAGATGACAGGCATGAACTAACTAACTAGTTAGTTGCGATCTGACTCCAAGAAAAGAAAAGAGCCTGGGGTCCATCCCCGTTGAAATCCAGTTCCACCTTCATGGTTTCAGTACACCTTCCTACTGGGAGTTCTAGTTAACTAGCTGTCTGACTCTTCGAGAACCATGGAGACAACCTTAAACTGCTCCTCTGGTTTTGATTCTCGCTCTCACGAAATAACCAAGCCTCGGAGCTAAACTGCGGTCATCTCGTGCCTGTTTTTTTTTCCCTTTTCTCTTCGTCGTTTCTTTTTCGTCAGTTTAGTTAACTAATATGTTATATTTCTTTTGGCTGGTTACTCAAGATGTTCTTTACCGTCGCTAGCCAACCCATGGCGCCAGGCAAATACAGCAGCAAGGAAACGGTCTCACCATCAGGTCGTTTTGCGCTGAGGATAACTAACTAGCTATCCTCCTGGGCATTCGACGTTGCAATAAGCTGCCCTTCCTGGGTGACGGCTGAGTTCGACTCAGGAGGGCAGCGAACATGTGTCACCAGGCCCTGCAAAACACGTTGTCGAGACAGGGATGTTTTGCGTCCAAAGAGAACTATAATTTAGTTAGAGCCGTTGCAGATAATGTGAAGAACGATGGGTCTTATTTTGCAGCTCTTGGCGAGTCGCTTCTATTGGTATCAGCTCTGTCAGTCCAGAATATAGGGGATGGAGATGGAGTAGTGGCCCTCTGCTTTCGTATATTTTTAACTCAAAAGAATCAAGGCGTTATGTAGTGGCCAGTATCAGTTACGACTGAAGTAACTAACTAATTGGCCGGCTTTCATTTTGGTATGACCTAGGAGAAACAACTACTAAGGAGGTGGTTAGGGGGTGCAAACGGTCAACTAGCTACTGACCAGTACCTGAAAAAAATAAATAAATAAATAAATAAATAAATAAAAATAAATAAATAAAAAAAGAACAGCTGCATTAATCAACTGCATAATCCGGGTGCAATAAATACTATGAAACAGCCCAAAGCTGCCGGTGGTAGTGGTTACAGCAGCCCTCACCTAGTAGACCTTTAAATAATAGTGTTTTCTTTTCATCTCAAATTCATTTTGAGCCTCCTTTTCTTCCGTTCAACGGCCGCACTTTTATGCAGGAGAAAGGTCTCCTTATCTAATTAACTCAAAGACTGGTAATGGCTTTGTATATTATATGAAATGTACCTTTCAGCCATTGCATACTGGCACTGTGGCGCCAGAAGCCCTTTTCATGGGGTTTATCTGGGTGTTTTTATCATCAAGACGAGTCAGAAAGGGGATACAGCAAGCTCGATCCAAAGAAGCCGTGCGAACTTGGACCATTCGGTCAGGTACTCCGTATAAGTATAGAAAATGAGACTCTTGCCGATACAGTTCTCGGGTTTTCTCTCTCTCTGAAACCGGCGTTGTGTCAAATAGACTCATTCTAATCGTACGTTGCCATACTTATTTTTAGTAAAGATATGCTTCACCCATCGACGTCTCTGCGAAAGACCGTACTGACGAGCCCGTAACACGGCTCATAGACACCAGGGAAAACTTATCAAGGTGTATGACCTCAATTGTTGCAACAAGCTGGACTGGTATACGGTGTTTTAGTTCTTTATAAACATAACCCTGCTTTAACGACTTTGGATGTGATGTGACCTGTCTACCGTTTAGCTTCATAGACCTTCAGACTCCGTCTAATCGCTATAGGTCCGGCAAGGTATGGGTTTGCACGAACTCTACTTCCGCCAGTTGCTTAAGCTTGACTTGGAGCAGCATAGTCCGGTAGGAGAGAATGGATATGTATGGGTGACAACAGCATGTCGCGCGCTCTGATACACTGGTATTTACAGTGAATGTCTTGTGTTGCGTCAACCGTACCCCTTGTGCGCTAATAAGATTTTTTAGAGTGAGACAGGATACGTTGAGCTTTTGTGAATCACACTCCCTCATCAATACCTTAAATCAATAGAAATACAGAAACAGGTAGCACGCAAACGAAAAAGGAAACGTAAAGATAAAAGAGAAGGCAAATGGTATCTCGTCACGAAACTGTTCCGCATAGCCCAGGCATTACATCGTCAAAGAAGAGCTGACCATGGCGTTCATGTGGGAAAATAGTGTAGAACTGCCTGCAATTCTTCATACTACATAATCCATAGTCGTAACAAGAGGGTTTCTGGGCTCTGCAGTTAGCCTTGGGATCAGGTATACGAAGTAGAACTGGTAACTGACTGGGACGAAGGAAGAATTACTATAGAAAGTGATAACGGTGGCTTTTGACCAGAAAATCGGATATCATCCCGAATGGCTGCAATGCACAACTGGCTATAAAAGAGGTTTGTCGAATGCTCGTTTTCAACGTTTGCAGATCCGACATTGGCCAACAACCACTATAAACCGCTCGTGAGGGCTCCCGGGACATCTGAGGTCTCCTGAGCCGTCGGTGGAAATACGGAAGAAATGGTTCCCTGGGTCCCGGCACGAGCTGTAAACGTAGAAGTTCTTGAAAAAGTTGCACATGCTGAAGAGACCAACCACCAGTGGAACGGGTTGATGCGTTGGTTTAGATATTAGAGGAAACAGGATCTCTTTGAATCAAGGGTTGTTGATAAAGTGAATGATAGCTGTAACTGCTCAGTAGTTGACCGGAAGGAAGGTGGCGAATGGGACTTGTCGAGATAGAGAGGAAAGGACCTGATATTATAGCTTAATCGGATGAGAATGAACCAGTGCGCGTCATGGAACGTCCGGCAAAAACAGCGGGTATTTTGGTTGGATGTGTGGTTTAACTTTCAAAGTTCACTGGGCCACCAGGGGAAGAGGTATGGTATATAGATAGACGGGTAACGAGGGTTGTCAATAATATAAAAAAACGAGAAAAAGGGACAGTGAAGAACCTAGATAAAAAGAGTGGAAATGTGAGAGGATCAGGGCGACAGTAATGATGGAAGAGTTGAAGCGCCTAATATACCATCGCTTGAAACATACAATAAAACGAAGGGTATATATGTGAACAAGTATATGATTGAAGCACGAAACTGAGCTGTTCCGAAATAAGCTCCTTTTTTAGATTGAAGGGAAGAACTTAGTTGATTCATCACGTTCTGCCCTTTCGGCGATCTGAGCCAGGATGCTGGAGATCCCGGGAAAATCAAAATTGACCCTATTTGGACATGCTTGGTGCTGCCCGTATTTGTTTTAAAATTTGATGCTACCCTTTAGCGAGAGAAAGAAAGGAGAATTGAGAAACAGAATGGAAGCTTAGATAGAGCTTGGCCCTGACTGAAAGTGATAATCCCGCAAGTGGAGAGACGTTAAGTAATGGAGAAATCGTCAGGAGGGCCTTCCGTCAACGTGGTAGATCTGCATATGTAAGTATGTCGTAAGCTCTTCAACCAAAGCTGGAATTTATCGTAAAGAAAGAAAAGTTAACAGTTCAAGTTAATGGGAGGAACTGGGGTTTCCATGCGTATACACTTCCTGGGAAAAGAAAGTTACGGTGTCGATATGGGATGGGGGAGATGGCCTCGCAGAGGCTATCATCAAAATGTCCCGGTATACCATGCAGGTTGGCGTCCCGCTTTAAGGCGTCACCCATTCCTCGTTGCCCAAAGAATGAATGCTGAATGGTCGAAAGACGAAATCATGCATCAGGAATAAGGTAATCCAGCCAATTGAACCCGGCTTGGCGGGTGGTAATATAATTTTAACAAAGAAAAACTTCCGGGCGGACTGGAATTAAAACGTATCCAATATAGGGGAAGGATCATCTACAGTCAGTGAGCACATATAGACATAAGAATCTGTCTAGACTTAGAATGAAGAGATTAGAACCTTGTTCTGGTTCTGAATGGAATCTCGAGGCGCATAATGGGAGGACAATCTCCGAGGAAGCTGAGCCCTGAAGCCTTCCGATCAGGCCACAGTCAGGTGTATATGTATGGTAGGTATCAAGAGTAAGAAAACGTCACCTAGGGTGGTAAAAAAAGGACCACACCAGTAATAATCGAGTCCAGACTTGACTCAGGAGGGTGTGTTTTGGGTTATTGCTCTGGGTTTCCGCGGTTAGTGGGGGTAACCATGACGTGTGGTGAAAGAAATGTATTGTTGTATGGGCGGATGATATATTAGAGAGGGGCCGACCAGGAATGGCTTTCCAAAGACGAAAGGCACTAAGATGTCAAATCCTAGAACCTGGCCATGGACGGCATCCCCGAACGCCATCTGGATCCTCAGGAACGTTGATGTTATAGCCATGGTCTGAATAGGAAGGACGGAGGTAACGTAAGTTGCGTATGAGATAGCCGGAGTGCTGAGTGTGTCGGCCAAGAAAAGATCGTTGAATATACACGGGAGAGATATGAACCAGACAAGACACGGAGTAAACAGAGAGAAATAGTGAGGGTGTTGCGCTGGGGGTACCAACTCTAGGCTGGCCGAGAAGCGCTCGGGGCGTTTGATATCCAGTTTTTCTGTGTCTGCATCTTGGATGCGGGTCTTGTCGGGGGTGTGCGGCATGTCATCCATCCCATGAGTGTGAAGGGATACCCATGTATAGTTTTCGAGTAGCAGCAGGCTAGGTTGCTAGTACTTGCATCAAGATCGCGATGCCAAACAGTGTGATGGTTTGTTGTTTCGTTTGATTTGAAGTTGGAGTTTGAGCGCGCTAAATTCATCGTGGTGTTCTGATTGGCTGCGGATCAGGTTTATCCGCGTCCGGAGGCATAACGATTCCCGGGCTATACAGGCTTAGCTCCTCACCATGAAACGCCGGCGTCACGCTAGTCCTAATCTGTCCACGCACGGACCTTATATTATATAATATCATCTCATGAAAACTCTATTTTTAGAGTTTGGAGGCCTTTTTTAAACCATCCACAGCGCTGTTTACTCCAATCTTTTACCCAATATCCATACACACACTACGAGAAAACGGACGACGAGCTAATAATAGGCGTGCCTGCAGGAAGTTGATAATAAATACTTTGATATAACTAACGTGCAACGGGGTTAAGAGCAAGCCAGGGCTCTTCGCATGTGAAGGCCAGTCTGCATGTCCTAATGCCTCTCTTACTCCCAAGGTACATACTAGGTTACCATGGATATGACGACAAGCTTATCGGTTCTTCATAAAACGTTATGAGGGCGAAAGATGATGTTGCCATTAGGAAGAAGAATGATGGGTTCCGTGCATCATCATTCGAGTTGAAGGTCCTAGCATGGAACCGACAAGCATTAAAACAGCCTTGGTTCTGATGCTCGTTCCGCCAGTGACCTCGCTGAAAAGGCAGGCTGTTTGACGTATACAACTGCCACACCAAGACTGATGCATTGCCGTGTCCCTCTTTCACTAGAAAAGCTCAAAAAAACATGATATACCCAGGGGTCAATTCTCAAAACCCCTCGCCCTCGACAGCGGGGAAGAAGATCGTTATCAGGACCAGGAGCAGGCATCTAAGCCTGGAAATTGATGAGGAATTGGCTGCGGCTGAGGCGTGGACTTGTAGCTTATCATTTCAGCCATAATTAGAGACGTCACTGCGCTGGCATGTCCATGAGGACTGTGAGGAAGAAAGGCCCGATTACTCCGTACGACCATTGTGAAAAATGCCTGGCTCGTGGTCAACACAGAGAAGGGGATCATGGGGGAGGGAGGAAGGGAAATGATGAATATGTCTTGCGGTTCATGGCATCTCCCCACCTTCACCTCATGTTGATCGATACATAGAGGGTCAGATGTGAGTGAGCAGTTTCAGGCAGTCGGGGGTACTGTCGGACACAGGGATCCGGCTTCCATACTTTGAGGGAGGCCACCATTGTGCTCCCAAAAGCAAATATGATAGGATAAATTTTTTTTTTCTCTCTACTCACGAATAAATATACTTACATATACGAGGAGCAGCTGTTCAAGCTTGACCAGCGATGTCTTACATGTTTACTGCTTCGTACTGAACCTCGTCGATCATCTGCCATCATTCCTCAGCCCTTTGCAGTGCTTGTACATGAAACCATATCCATACTTATTAGATAACAACTATTCGCAATTTCCTATATCTAGATACACACACTCCCATTCAAGCTTTTGAAACCGGGAAATATCTCCTTACCTCCCTCCCAAACACCCTTCTTCTGGAACTGTCATGGAACTCTTGTGGAACTTCATTATGCTAGTCCGCACTGTTCCTGGTAAGCCCTAATACCGCCGTCGTGGTTTACGTTAGCTACCGGCCCTAGAATGACCAACTGTAACTTCACATGGATAGTATATCTCAATCTCAGGAAATGAAGCCAATGCAGCTGAAATTAATTCTTCTGGTTGACTCGCGTTTTTGAGATTAATTAGCCAATGGATGTACTTGGAATATTGATATTGAGAACCGGACCAGTAATATTTTTTTCAGCCAAGGATTGTTATCATTCGTATCTAGTCCTGCAAAGTTCGTTACTCGTTACTCATTCTAATCCATAACTCTATTGATGTAAACATTCAGACTCCAGTGTGATGCCGCTAAGCATACGCTCCATTCACAGATCCCTTGAACAAATAAACAGCTAACATAAGAGAAAAACCGGATAAACCCTGTAGCACCTCATTAGAATATTGATGAAAAGAATTGAAATTGATGCTCATATTCCCATTGCGGAAAATGCAGGTTGAAAGGTTTACATTAGATGGTCTGGCTTCGGCGTGGTTTTCCTCCTTGCAGAGCAGCTCTCGCTCGAAGGGCCTCCCATTTCAGATGGTATTCCTCCGTCATCTGGCCATCCGGAAAAAAGGTAGATACCATATTGCTACCCAAGTTTGGGTATTTCTCTTCCACGGCGAGCAACGTATCCATAACGCCAATTTCGCCTATAACGTCGAGGAACTCCAAAGGGAGGCCGAAGGACTCTGGGGTGCGTTTTCCTCCAACGACGTATGCATTTTGAATAGTTCCCATGCCGCCAGCTGTGATAACATACCAAGCATTGGTTTTAAGACCAGCCGCAAATATAACAAGCAGGACCCAGAGCACAGCAAGGATGAAAACGGCAACTCTAGTGAAGATGTCACAAGGTAAATCTCTCTCCTCTGAGCCCACAGCCATTTCCTCAAGGTCGAAGCCACGCCCGTCTCCTATGATGACAATAGCATGTTGGCACCCGGCACCTTTTGTCAAAACCACTGTTTTCTCTGAGTTTGCGCAACATGGCCACTTCTCCCGTCGCCATTGGCGCAGGCAACCTGATATGATAGACAATAAAGAGCCACTCAAGGTTGTCAGAAACGGTGACCAGTCACCTTCTCTTATGAGTGGAACTGCTGAAAGCAAAAGTTGAAGGAGCGTGGTGAGCATGCCGCTGTAATCGAATTTATCTCTTTTAGGTCGACCCAGGCATTCCTCCTTGGCCTTGTATATAGATACACAGAGGCCAGCTTTCTTAGGTCGTCTCACATTGGCACAGGTACCATGGGTGGTTATGCTGTCGAGTTTCATCTGGTCCCATTTTCGAGTAATTTTATCTTTGAGATGGTCGTGGACGTCCTTGTGTTTCCAGTAGTCATGATCCCGAAGTAAACGTCCAAGTACCCAGCTGGTATTGTCAAACGAAGTGCCTGTCTCGCCGTTGATGATCTTGCATGGATGATCAGTGTCGGGCATGAGCCTGTTCTTCCCGATAGCTGATACCACAGCGTTCAAACCGTATGAAACGCATCCTGACAAAGATCTGTTAGCCACAACTGACATTACCTATAGGAAGCAATACTCTCAAGATAACTATGCTGGCAACTGGCGCGGCCTACCAAACGAGAAAGCAACCGGTGGAACTGGAGTCCCAACAAGCTGAGCAAACGCATGTTCAACGAGATCGCCGCCGAGAATGAAGAGAACGGACAGGATATCCTTAGGGTCGGCCCAGTGTATTGCAACTCCTAGAGACGGCTCCCCAAACTCAGGCACTCTCCGAAAAAGTTCCTCAGCTACGGGAGCCATCTATTCCCGGTCCCTGGGTATATAAATACTGATCAAGGGGTATACAGACTGTCCCTGTTGTCTTCCTGCGTGTGCGATGTTGGGACTGTTGTGGTTGTTGGTGATGACGATGTTGGTGATTGGCGGCGACTGAGTGAGGGCATGCCTGGCAGCAGCATTCGGAGTCGTCCTTATATATCAACCAAAATGGACCTTCTTCTTGCTGGACAGGCTGCCTCTAGCCCTTTTGTCGTCACCTTAATCATCAACATCGTCAGTCATCACCATCATGTTCCTCGTCTCCATCAAATTTGTCTTCTGCTTGTCTAGAGCATACCCCGTGACCAGCTATGGATTGGCTTGCTGCACGACGGTGTAACTCGAGATAATCACCAAAGACAACCGGCGGCCGACTCAGTTGATGCCGTCAGCTGTCAACTGCCTTAGGGCATGGCTCGGCTATCGCTAGTGATGGAGTAGTCCCTTGATAATCTTCGCGTGGTCGCTTGGGGGTCTACAGCATGCGCGCATCGCGAGAATCCGTGGATTTATCTCGGTCACAGGAACAACCGCGGACGAACAGCTTGACTAAGGCTATATATTATCGCCATCCCTTGGAATAATGTAGAGTGGGATTTCAGCATGCCTGGCCTACTGTATATTACTAGAGATCAATTGCCGCGGTTTATACAGTTAGTTGAAGCTTTCCATTTGGTCTACTTTCTATTGGATCGCTCACTCGGGGCCCGTGGCTGATAACTACCACAGTTTGATCAGGGAACAGCCGACAGATCCCGCAGGCCCATGAACCAGATTTTTATCGAGGACAGAAAATAATGGATTTAAATCTTAACAATACATACAGGGCTAGTCACATGTATCGTCTCATGTTGAACTCTCCTCCCACTCCGGATTCTATAAAAAGGGGTAGATTGTTAGCATATCGTTCATATAGTAATTCAAATTCAGCAAGCGGTGGCTGGGTTCTGTAGACTAACCTTTCGTAGGATGACGAGCCCTTCAAGAGTACTGCTTAGACAGATGTACTCTTCGTCTTCTAGCTCGGCTCGCTCTCCGTACGATAATAGCACAGGGGTGCTTTGTGTTTGCCAGCCTGTGATGGTTTTAGGTCTTCCGGCCTGACCTACCACGTCGACGGCCTGACCAACACGAACATTGACAGTGAGAGGTTTGAGATCCTCGTCTAAAGTGACAAGGAATCGTGGGTTCATGGCGGTTACAAGGTAGTAGAGGAGGTAGTGGGAGTCAGCCAGGATAAAATCTTTAGCGTCGATCATCGCCACAAGAACTGTCAAGAGGCCGGCCGCTGCAACTCTCGAAAGAACTTGACGATCGGTATGGAAAGGGTTCACGGACATGCTTCCCTTGCCCATGTGGAGGAGTCCCTGGGCAATACGGACCATAAACAATGAGTTTTGATCGCGTTGGTAGTAGCTTGCTAGCTGGCGGAGCAGTTGTGCCAAACGAGCGTTGTTGGTGCCTGCTCCTAGTAATCCCATAGCGAAGATGGCGTTGATAGCAACATCATTATCGTTATCATGACTGTACCTGGAAAGTGTGTCGTACACCTTCATCTGCGGATTGCTTGGGCTGATCAGTCCCATGGCAAGAGGAACTGCCTTTCGAATGTTCGCAGCGCCATAATGCATCAGATGGCCGAACTGTCGAAGAACCATGTCCTGGCCGATCTCCTCGCCCATGGCAATCAAAGACAGTCCTAGGACAGCATACGACTGCACAAGCTCTTCGCCCTTGTTTTCCTCCTTGTCCTCAAAAACCTCGTTACAAATATGGAGAAGTTCTTGCAGTTTCAGGACTGTGCCGGTTCCAGCCCACGCACAAACTGACGCGAGAACGGATGTTGGCTTCGCCATGGGATGCTCAATCACCTTAAGGATGTCCAGGACAACCTCAACTTCCTCTTGTTTTCCAAAGTAGAGGAGTGCTAGGCCAAGCGCCATGAAACGAGTCCACTTATCCTTCAGGTGTTTTTGTCGCTCTTCATCCATTAAAGTGGTGGCTATGGCCTCACTAACCTGGTGGTTGGATGAACCTACAAAGATCATACCAAGAGACACAGCAGCCATGGCAGAAATTTGCATATCGACAGTCACATCCTCGACAATTGGGAGAAGCAGCTCAAGAAGCTCTTCCTTGCATGATCCAGCATACGCCAGACCAAGACCCATGATGGATGCTACTCTCATTGGAATGCTCTTGTTCTCAAGATTTTCATAGTCTCCGAGAAGTGCTAGAGCGGGGTCGGAGTCGACTCTCACACCTGCGTTCATGATACCAATTCCAAGCAGAGCTCCAGCTCTGATTTGGTCTTCTTCCGCATAGGTGAACTTGTCTATCTGGTTTAAACCTTCCTCAACATCCCACTGAAGAAGCATACCCAGCGAGGCTGCAGTTGACAACATTCCATCATCCTTCGTTTTCCAAACCCAAGGTCCTTTGTCCCCGTCCACAAGCATCATTTTATCGTTTCCAAAACCGGCGTTGGTAAAGGCATTAACGAAAGCACTGGCAAGATTGTGTCGTGCAGAGTCGACATTGGTAAGGCTTCCTCTGTTGTTTTCGAGGTGAGTTTTGTAAATATCCTCAGGCATTTTTGGCTCAAGAATATTCAGTTCCTTTGCGAGGGACTTGAAGTGAGTGGGCAGGGCGATGTTGTTGAGGCAATCCGCTAGTTGCATATCATCATCTTCAAGCTCAAGCCATATCCGTTGACGAGCAACTAAAAATGCCATTTGGTATTTTACTGCCTTGTCCGTTGTCTCTTGGAAGTCGCTCTGAATCAGTTCAAGGTCATTGAGGCGTATTGCGATGACGATAGCCTGCGTAAGCTTCTTATATTGGAGATAAATGTCGTGGACGGTGCGTAAAAACTGATGGTCCTCTGGGTATGTGAGCAAGTTGACCATGCTGACCATGTAAAGACAAACCCGCGGGTAGGTATTCTCGTCAACAAATCGGGGCAATTCCTCGATCATCTCTAGCTCACTGAGCAAGTCGACAGCGTCTGCCTCCGCGTTATGGCTAAGGAAGTAAGGTACAAGGGATAACGAAAGGTCCACAAGGTCCTGTACATCCTTATCGTCGGTCAACCGGTTTTGGTATTCCTGGCCTATTTCCAGTGCCAGGTGACGAATATATTCGTGACCCCAGGATCCAAGATCGTCTGATTTCGCGAGAAGGCGGTATTTAAGCGTTTCTAGTTTGTCTTCGACTCCATATGTCATTCCTAGCACTGAAAGAATATCCGCGAGGGAATCCTTTATGGGCGGTTAGTTTTCAGCCCAGTAAGTTTGAGAGAGCGGATTCCGTACCTTATCATCACCAGACGACCATTCATCGAATACCTTGGTGAGATCGTCATAATGTGGTCTGAGAAATTTAAGTGGCTTCGGTACTGCTGTCATGGAAGAAGTAGAGGTCTTAATGAAAGTTTTGATAGCCTCAAGAGCTGGTTTGTAAAGGGATGTGTCGGGTTCCTATGCAAACACGCCAGTCAGGTTATCACATCTCACATAAGACTGTGCCAGCTGCTTTGGAAGAGATTAGCCTCCAATATTCCAACATACCTGTAGTCTCTCCACGAGCATCTCAAGTTCATTTTTAAGCTGTTGGTCTTCCTCATTGAGTTCCTCTGGCGCGCAAGTTAGTAGGCAGCACTTCACACAAAACAGCTTGCATACAAAGTCGCGCGCACCTTCTTGAGGTTCCTCCTCCTTTTTGCCGTTCATAACGGGCTTCCCATCCTTGCCTTCATTTTTCCCTCCATTTATTTCCTTCGTGTCCTCTGCCTTGCCCTTCCCAGCACTGGAGGATGATAGGTCGTCCTTCGCCATGGGAGTGACTGTTGAAGATGGAGGTGCAAATACAGGAGTGAGCGCAGCTCTGTCTATGAAAACCTACCTGACAAAGCTTTCAGAGGAGGTTAGAGATCGAGTGCTCGCGGTGGTTGTCTTGCGGGTGTGGTAGGTTGTTCTGCGTTGTATGTTCAGCGGTTTGCTAGTTCTCCGAAGCTCATTTTTGGTTTGCTTTCGGATCTGGAAGCTTCAGAATGATTACGTAATCTAGATTGTGTTATGAATAGAATCAAGGAATCAAGGACGGATAGGGTTATGTATTCATATATATTCAGTAAATCCGGCATATGGCCACTAATGTACAAGTATTTGGGCATCGCTAGATAGGATAAAATAACTACTATTCTGAAATTTCGACTCCCTCTTTGGATATTAACTCTTCTTCATTGCAAAAGAGATCATCAGCTTTGAGCGGAACGCTCTCCGGCTTCTCGTCACTGTTGGTACAGCCACCTATTTCTTTCCTAAACGCTTGTAGAAACGAATCTTGGTCATTTGTGGATTCGTCCTCGTGTGTTAGTTCCCCTGTGTAAGGCAGTACTGGAAGCTCGCGGATGTCTGGAAGCATTCCTGGATAGACGTCCAATAACGTAGACAAGGTTGAAGGAGAATGAGCGAGATTCTTCTCCTCAAAGTTCGACTTCACTTGTCTTTGGTTGGGGTCATCATATTCCTCGGGAGGTCGGTGTAGCTCATTGTGGACCGTCGCTATGGCGAGATCATCTTGGGCAGCAAATGCCGGGTAGACAAGGTAATAACCACGAGCACGCATGAATTCAAGCATATAGTCCATCCATGAAGGGTATGATTTCGAGATTACTTTATGGACGTCCTTTCCTTTCTTTTGTATAGATGGAGATAGTCGGTGGGACAGGAACGACTGAAATTCTGCCCACATATCTCCAAAATATAGTACAGCATTGTTGTCAGGTATCTGCCACAGCAATGCTGGAATCTCAGCTAGCCGTCCTTTAGAAGGATTGGGACTTGATATAGTCATTGGTACAGAGAACGGTTTCCCGTCGGTTGGACGAGAAGAGGGCAGCTCTAAGGAGACACCAAACAGGTGACCTGGCAAATCTTCACTGTCGCCATATTTATACTTCAAAAGGGAATATTTGAGGAAATGGAAAAAGGAGGGTGCCAATTCTGTGTCTGGAGAAACCAGAATGACATGGGAAAGGTTGGGATTTTTCGGGTAAAAAGAGTCAACTGTTCTAACTGCGGCTTCTTGTGACGTCAGGACAGAGGGTGAGATTCTTCGCCGAAGAGTAAACTGACGGTGAGCTGTCTTGGGCGGCCAGCGGAAATTTTTGAGAAAATAGAGCAAAGTTGGGTCAGCATCAACCGGCAATTCAATTGTTAGCCCCGGGGCCGGCCCGAAGTAATCTGCTTCTTGGAGAGATCTGAGCAGTTTCCTGGGCCCCCCTGAAGAGTTCGGTTGGACATTAATGAGTATTTCTGTTTGCACGTCATTCCAGGCTACACAAATTAGCCCTGCTGCCACACATAAATCTTAGGACTCGGAGTTTTAAATGATTTTCGTACCTTCAAGAGAAAAGGCATCCAAATCCGCGATCCATTTAAAATTAGAAAGCGAGCTGGGTAAACTGATATGCGTTATTCCCAGCTGAAAGGCCCGAAGCTCAATTGCGTTGATAAAAAAGGCTTCCTCAAATTCTATGTCACGGGTAATGACAGCTCGCGGAGCTAAGATCCGATACATGTGCACCAAAGCAGCCTTGACGCTTAACTCTAGGCGCCAGGGGCTAGATGTGGATGCGTGAATTGGTCGCGCATCTAAAATCATATAATTAGGATAAATGATATGGCTATGTTGGATGAAGGTTTGATACTCGCATACCGTGCCATGTTACAGGGCAATCCTCCTCTCTGAATCCATTAGCTCTCTGGATATCAGCAAGGGGGATCTCGTCTCGTCCCATAATTGCTAAATGGACCGTACTCCGCTTTCTCGCGGCCATGTCGCATGCGACGGGGAGCATATCGCCCAGTGACTTCAGTTGCCCAGTTGCAAAGATGACAGATTCCTGATCTGCATCATAATTCAAGCTACGAGTTGAATATAGCGATTCAAACAGTGACTCGAAATCTATAGGTCCTCGATAATATTTAATGCCATTCTCGTCCTGTGTGCTGTCTATTTCAGCTGGCTCCGATTCAACATTGGTTTCACCGGATGGGCGCAACCATGGATCATCCAACAATTGCGATCTTTGGCTGACATCTCCCACTCGAGTTGGTATATGCTTGCAAAATATGAAAACGACGAAGGCAACGAAGAAAACCAAGGCGATGCGCCTTCGTCGCGGAAGGCGTCTCCAGAAACTCCCTAATGATAGTCCGTATATAGAGTCGCGATGGTTATGGTCGTCATATTTCTTTCCGAGCTCCTCGTCACTGAGAAAGAGGTGTTTCGATGAGGACATCGTTTCGGTATATGTAATAATCGCAACTACAATGTCTGCACTCTTCATGTTAGATGACCTATCTCTCCGCATAATAAACTGAAATAGTAGGGAAGGAGACGCACCGCGCAAAGAACAGATATATAGTAGTGATCATGAAATTAAAATACCCCTGAAGGAGCTTATGCGCTCAGCATGAATCAACCCCAGTTCGACGAGAGACAGTATATCATGGTTCTCCGTGACCCAGACGAGGTGCACATATAAGCAAGGCTGCTCCTGTGACACTCTGAGAAAGAGGAGAGCCTTCTGGTCTCGAAGCACTTGGATAGATAGTGATGCCAGGCGAAAGCTTAAGCCGTCGTGATCAACTCTGGCCCGATAGTTGTCTCTCGGGCTTGCTTGGTTGTCATTCTTGCGCTGGTCCACCCACGTGATTGCTCTATCGCCTCATGGAGTAATTCGCCAACGAAGCAACAAACAATCAGCCAGCCTAAGTACTACTGTGGACAACGGAGAGATGGTACAAAGCCTCATTATGGACTGTCTGGCCTCATGGTCTAGACGTACGGACTTATAGACATAGCTAGATAACGGCGATCTTCACATCACATTTGATGTTGCAGCACATCCCAACACGGTGACACAGTGAAGTCAGCTTAACAGGCTGATCATAGCACTGAGAGTCCGGGAAGTGACAGCTTATTCCCAGGTCAAAATGCAAGATTTGCTCTATACGCTCGACCTCCTCCCAGGAGTACTAATGTCTTTAAGAGGGTCCTTGGGGCGAATATAGCAAGAAATATTCACCGCCAACAGATGACCATGTTCTGATAGACCGATAACAGTGAGATTATTGCTGAGTTACTCCATAAGTAAGCAGCAAAAAACCTGTCTTGGGCAATATGAATGGTTGCCATTGCTCACGACTTGAAGACCTGGACCTTGTTGACATGTTAGTCAAGAGAGACGTCGTTTTGGCAATCAATTCGAAGCACGCGGGTTTTCCTGAGACGTGGCCGAATGGGATGAGAACCTGAGCATGCATGCGTGATGCCATACAGAGTGTATATAACTGTGTCAGATATGTCTCTTCAGCAAGGAGTTGTGCAAACCTTCATAAGTATGGAGCCTGGTTGGATTTGAAATCTCTTCGGCTGTTATGCATGCAAGAAACGGATCTTAATATTAAGATTTCTGCAGTCGAGACTGCCTTGACTGTGTTATCATGTATGTTCATGGCGATTGGTGCGGTTCAGAACTGCAACAAAAAAAAAAAAAAAAGTATTTGCTTTCCTGAGTTGCGGCCGAGAGGTGCATGTTGTAGGAACCAGGTCTTGTAGGCCAGGGCCTCGTTCTCCTCGCCCTGCAGTGCTTGCTTGGGACTGAACCTGAATTCAAGAGCAGTTGCTTTGTCTCGGCGGACGGGCCTGACACGGTTTTAGACTGATTGGTGGCTGGATTAGTGTGGGTTGCGGCCAAAGATCTGCTAAGATTTTGAAGGCATAATATAAAATTGAAGTGCAACCACGGACTCCATCTCCCATTCGAGAACAGAGTATATTGACCTCGAACATGTTTGTAGATCTGGAACCTGATCCTGAAAAGTATGCATATACCAGCAAAAGAGAAGAGGGCGTGGATCGCGTAACCTACCGGATACCCGCCTACTTACATAAAGGGTTTTTTGCTGTGATTCTGTCACCAGCCATTCATCCCGGCAATAAATGAAGGAAGGAATATTCCGTAGAATATAGATAGACACCCCAAGTTTGAGCTTTTCGGAGGAGGGCGAGGGCCGGACAAGGCTGGTAGGAGGTTTCGTGTTGGATCGGCAGAGCGGAGAGCCAGTGTATCCCTGGCCAGCACATGCAGATAGGCGGCCCGGATTTCTAGATGTTCGATCCGCGCAGTGTTTGTCAGGGAATCGAGACCCAAGCAAGGAGATGTTGCAAGAGTGTTCGGCGCGGCCCAGGAGAAGAGCATTATTGGCAACATGTCTGGTTCGCGGTACCTCCCCTAACACTTCCGCCCTTCTGCCTGGCCTCGCTCCCGCTAGGTTTTCGACGTCGATCCCAGAATCATCCCTATATTCTGCCTGCCTAAGGCGGCCCTGCATCGCGGTCCGCCTTTACCGCCGGCATCCTTGGGCCACCACCGGTTTCACAGTTGCAGTGTGGCCTCAGGAGCAGAAAACTGCGCACTCGCGGTCCGCTAATCCAAGCAAGCCCCTTCGACATATACGGGCTCTGAAGCGCGGCGGTCCTTGCTCGCTCTGGCCTCGTCCAGCCCCTGCCCAGCCAACGCTGTCTCCTCCACAGCCCCGTCCCGCCCGTCGCCGCCGTCCCTTTTTCCCTCGTTCTCCTGCTGGCGGTCTTGCTGTCGCTTGCGCCGCGTCCTTTCTTGCTCGACGTCTCCTTTTTCCGTTCTTGGTGAACAGGCCACGTGACGGTTCCAGACCTCCTTACATAATCCGCTACCTGAGACCCACTGTCACGTGAGCATATCTTTTTTTTGCAGCCGCAGAAAAGCAAAAATAAAGACAAAAATAAAGCAAAAAAAGGGACGAAAAGACGAAGAAAGCAGAAGAAGAAGACAACGAAGAAGAAGCTGCAGAAAAAGGCGACGAAGAGAAGCAGGAAAAAGTGACAGGTTCCCAGCGAGGCTCGGCTTTTCTTTTCCTGGAGCCCTGCCGCCTGCACATCACTGCATCGGCGGGAGCGACGGATCCAGGCCTGGGTGCTTGACCTTGCCCCTCGATCTGCCCCAGCCTTTTTTGCGCGCGCCCTCTGCGCTTCATCGGTGCCGGGTGCAGCAGCAGCAGCTCTTTTTCTTTTTCTTTTTTCCTTTGCCTTTTTTTTTTTTTTTTCACCCCCCATTTTACGGAGTACTCTCTGCCGCCTGGTGCTGCTTACGCTGGCTATGGGGAACGTGGTGCAAGCCTAGACCTCGGCCAGCCCAACCTCCCGCCCGCCCCTAGCTTTCCTCCAACTTCATATATATCGCCAGCGTCCCGTCGCGCCAACTTCTGGAGAACAGACTGCGACGCCCCGACTGCACAGATAATAATGGACGGCGATAGGATGGACCTTGACTCGACGTCCCAGGGCCCGCGGGGCCTCAAGCGGCCGGCGCCAGACGCGGACACAGAGGCAGACACACCAAACGCCAGCACGTTCCCAGCGGGTGCTTCCGGTGCTCCTCCTGCCGCCGGTGCTGCTGCTTCTGCCAGGCCCAGGAAGATCCAGGTGAGTCACGTGATACAATTTTGATGTGAGGGACGGAAAGAGAGAGAGAAAGAGCAGCCCTTACTGACGGTCGGAAGGCGCTGGACCCGGACGTTATCAACAAGATTGCGGCTGGGGAGATCATCGTGGCTCCTATGCACGCACTGAAGGAGCTGATTGAGAACTCGGTGGACGCTGGCTCAACTTCCGTGGAGATCCTGGTTAGGGAAGGGGGTTTGAAACTCCTCCAGATCACCGATAATGGTCATGGAATCGACGTTAGTATCAAGAGAGCTTTGCTTGTACTTTTGTATCAGACGAACTGACTTGCATTCTTAGCACGATGATCTTTCAATTCTGTGTGAGAGATTCACCACGTCAAAGTTACAGGCCTTCGAAGACCTCTCCTCCATCGCTACGTACGGGTTCCGTGGTGAGGCCCTGGCAAGCATCAGCCATGTTGCCCATTTGACAGTGACAACGAAGACGGCTGGATCAAGCTGTGCCTGGAGGGCTCATTACAGTGACGGAAAGCTTGTACCCGCAAAACCAGGACAGAATGCTTCTCCCAAGCCCATTGCCGGACGCAAAGGCACCCAGATCACCGTTCGTACCGCCCTCGAAAACCCATCTATAATACTTTCTGTCTCTCGATATATATATGCATATGTTAACTTGGTGTTTAGGTAGAAGATTTGTTCTATAACGTTCCAACCAGGCGTCGTGCATTCAGGTCGGCAAGTGAAGAGTACGCAAAGATCCTTGACATCGTTGGCCGTTATGCTGTACACTGCAGTGGAACTGCGTTTTCCTGCAAGAAGCACGGCGAAGCTGGCGTCAGCTTGTCAACCTCGATAAACTCCTCGATAGTCGACCGGATAAGACAACTACACGGTGGGGCTGTGGCTAACGAGCTGGTTTCCCTCGAGGTGGATGGCAAGCGATGGGGGTGCCATACTTCAGCATGGGTTACCAACGCCAACTACCATGCCAAAAAGACCGCCCTCCTTATTTTCATCAACCATCGTGCTGTCGAGTCCACCGCCATCAAACGAGCTGTTGAACAAACTTATTCGACTTTTCTTCCAAAGGGTGGACATCCATTTGTCTACCTTGATCTTGAAATTGAACCCCAACGCCTTGACGTCAACGTCCATCCCACCAAGCGAGAAGTCAACTTCTTAAATGAAGATGAGATCATAGAATCCATCTGCACCGCCATAAGGACCAAGCTTGCTGCGGTAGACTCAAGCCGTACGTTCATGACTCAAACGCTTCTCCCCGGAATTCGCCCTCCAGAACCGGCCCCATTAGCCAGAGACGCTTCTTCAGGCGCAGAGGGTGAAAGATTAGTTCTTCGAACAGTTGCTGGAACGAAACGCCCTTATGAAAATAACCTTGTTCGGACAGATGCGAAATTGCGGAAGATAACGTCCATGCTTCCTCCTGCAGGTTCGGAGACGGCCCCTGGAGATAAACCAAACGGAAACCAAGGCCTCGCTTATCAAAAGGTTAACCGGGAACCGGTTAACATTCGCCTTACTTCTGTTAAAAACCTGCGTGCAGCTGTTCGTGCCTCCATGCACAATAATCTCACCGAAATATTTTCTTCAAATACCTACGTCGGTCTCGTGGACGAGCGACGTCGGGTTGCCGCAATACAGTCCGGCGTCAAACTATATTTGGTGGATTATGGAATGGTGTGCAATGAGTTCTTCTACCAACTCGGACTTACAAACTTCGGGAACTTTGGATCGATCAATCTCGAGTCATCTCCGAAGCTTGTGGATCTTCTTGCCCTCGCTGTTGAAGTGGAACGTGACGAATACTACCGCAACAATCCACCAGATGGAGATGCGGCCTCAGTAGCGTCAGATGCCAGCCGCAGCATAGACGAAGGCATTGTTGTCGATTTTACTTCCGTCGCAGCCACTGTGGCCAAGCATCTAATCGACCGAAGGGAAATGCTAAAGGAATATTTCTCACTTTCCATATCCGAGGATGGATGTTTATTATCCATACCTTTGCTTTTGAAAGGTTACATGCCATCTCTTGTGAAACTACCGCGGTTTCTTCTTCGTTTAGGCCCATATGTGGACTGGAGCGGCGAGGAAGCCTGTTTCCGCACATTCCTGACAGAACTCGCGGCCTTTTACACCCCAGAGCAACTACCAACTCCACATTCCTCTAGTACCCCACAAGGTGGATGTGGGAGACAGCCTGGCCCTGGTGATCGAGAAAGTAGCCCACACTCCATAGTTTCGGACATCTCCGGAGGAAATGGTGCCTCTGCCACTGAAAGCCCACAGGCAGATCAGTCCTCCAGTCATGACGAAGCTGAATCAGAAGATGAATCAGTTACTCGTCGACGAGAGCAGTTGTCATGGATGCTTGAACATACCTTATTTCCCGCTATACGCTCACGGTTAGTTGCTACTAACGACCTTATTCGAGGTGTGATCGAAGTAGCAGACCTGAAAGGACTTTATCGGGTTTTTGAACGCTGCTAGTGTCCTGATTGCTTTAAACCCGCCCTCCCCCCCAACCTCCTCCTTGTGCCTCTATTCTCCAATCCCATCTACTACCTCTCGCCAGAAAGAGACGTCGCTTTCTGCCTTTTATCTCTATGATACCGTGACTACCTATACTGTCCCATTTTACGGCCTCACATATCTCCCTGCTTGAAGCATGATATGATCTCAAAATGAATTATGAACACTTATCAACTATACCCTTTTTCGCACTGCTCTAATTTATCCTTATTCTCTACCTGATTCGGCTCTTTTCATCGTGTTATTTGACTCGATGCATTCTCGTACCATCGTGTAGGCTGTCCATTCTTTTCATTCCTTCTAATTATTATACCTAAAGGCCTGTATCCTTGTAATAACTTTCTATCTTTTATTTATGCATTGCATGTCCTACCGGGCCTTGACATATATTCTTTTTTTTTTTTTTTTTTTTTTTCATAAGTAGCTGTGAAATATAACTACGCTAACGGGCACATGTCACTTACTTCGTCGCCAAAAAGCTCTCGCCAAAAAAAAAAAAAAAAAATGCTTCTTTACCCGAGACTAATAATCTACATTACATATGGCTTCCCTGAGCTAGGGGCAATTATCTTAAAGGGTGCATTTACTGGCATTTCCCATCTTACTGGCCAGCACAGCTCGACTTCAAATCTCTCTAGTTTTCCCACTTGATACAATGGACGACAAATGACTTCTGTCACTGCTTGCAAATTTGAGTGTGGGCTAGAATATGATATTCGCCTCCGACAACGAATCTTTTGACTGTATATCCTAAGCCGAAATTCCCTTATGCTTTCCATTTCGTTGGCGATAGCATAGCAGGAAACTTCCCAAGTGTTAGGCAGCGGCTCTTCATCGTTTCTGATCCGTGGCCAAAATCGCTGCGCTTTCTGATAAAGCTGAGAACGGCCATCATCGTAGAAGACACTCCAGTCCCATGGTGCTATCTCAATGCTTGTGATGGCCTTCAAACGCTGTGGTAGGATCGAATGGGCAAAAGCAAGAAATGTATAGGGTTGTTCGAAACTAAATGTTCGCCTTGCATATAGCACGTCTATGGCTTCGGTATAGCTGCAGCAGTGCATTAGTGTATTTCTTACTGAGCTAGGGAAGACATAACTGGTTATGCGAAAGACTTACATTAATCTGCATGACTGAAGTAAGGAGAGCATGCCAATACCCGGATGCTCGCATGTTACCGGGGCCAGAATATCCTCGACGAAAGTGCAACCTGTCTGCTTATTTGCGTGCACAACATTTTCAGATACACAATTGCAGACATTTACGTCACTAGCAACGGTCTTTGAATCATTTGAATCATGAGTGCAGGGAAATGCAGCTAGTTGCCGGCTATTGGTATGCACTATATGGATCTTCCGACTTCCAACAACATAGTTATATATCATAAGCCTCAGCTCCGCAGGAAGATGAAACAACCTAGACTGCGCCTGGCCGTAGGATGGTTGACCTAGTTCTCTCTCGTTTGCGTGAAGCTTCTGGTATTGCTGCTGGTGTGGGCTATCAAGGGCAGCATTAATTGAAAGAGCCCGTTGCCGACGAGCAGGCAGAGGCAGCACATCCGTTTTGTGGTACTTCTTGAACCTCCTAGTCCATTGGTACTCCCTGAAGGCGACTGAGGTATAGATGTAATAGACAGGAATAATAACCGGCAGGCAGACTACGCAGCATATTACTTGACAGATATCAATTAAGGTATACCAACAATCGCGTGTCATGTTGCAAGGCTGTCAGCAAAGGAGGGGACACAGGGCCGATTTGTGCAAGGGAAATATCAGCCTAATGTAATTTAAGGCAGAGGAGAGTCAAACGTGCTGAGAACCGTTATTAATTTGAAAGTTGATAGTTATTCCGGCTCCATTGCTGATACGAGCCAGTTGGCGTCCCGTATTCCGCCGTGAGCCTTCACAATCCAAGGTAGGTGATTAACTAACTTGTAGTATAAGTTCGATAACTGAATATCGATGGCCTAGGTAATCACGGAATTAAATCTCTGAGGATAGATAATGCATAGACTCCCATTCATGACCTCCATCGCCCTAAGCCTAGCACGCCCAAAGAGAAGATATTATCATTCATGCTACGGACTTCCATAACTACTAATTAGTTGAACGGGCCGAACAATTGGGGGTTTAGCATGCATTGATGTAATAGTTATCAACAACTAATAGAAGCTAGTAGAGAACGCATATTTGAAGATCTGGACAGAGATACGCTCATACTCAGGAAACAGAAAACGATCAATTGGGACAGACATGAAAAAAGAACTGAAAAGGTCGTGTCGTTAATATTGCTCCCATTCAACATAAATCATTAGAATCGTAAGGGACGTTAAGAAATTAGAATAGAGGCAGAAAGTAATAAGTGCGTCATAGGCAGTAAGGATAACTGGGGCTGCCCGTGAGCTTCATAAGCTAAAATGAAGATTAAAGGAAGGGACTCAAACGAGCCAAAGAAAATGGATCGGCAAATGGAAAGTAGAGGAGAGATGAAGTACAATAGGAAGATGCCTATCCAGCCAGTAAAGGGTTGAAGGAATGGTGAGACTGGAAAGAAAGATGGTATCTGTCGGTAGCTGGATTATTAGAACAGTGCCTTTAGCTATTGCCGTGAATATGGTTTGTTCATAAGGGCGATTTCACGCGCCACGGTAGGCCATTCCAGATCTCGTTTGAATGTGTTACCTCTTCTGTGCTGAAGGATCTCATCCCACTTGAGAAGCTCATATCTAAAGGATTTATTATTAGTATATGAGAAGTATAAAGAAACAACTTGGAATTAATGGGAGAAAACGGTAGAAGTGTCGGAAAAGCTTTGAATTCAACTTACACAAATCGAAGATGTGGTTGGATGATGACATTCAGTCTCCTTGCCCGAACAAAACAACTAGTTAAGTAAACGAGTTAGTTATGATTTTTGGATTCAAGATATTGTGCGAAGCTTACTATGCTCTAGGAAAAGATAGGTTCATAGTCTTCATGACCTCAGCGATACATATAGTGGCAGATCTTGAAACGCCAACACGGCAATGTACCAATGTCGCCGTTCCTTCAAATTTACCCGCATCTAAAACCGTGAAGTCAGTATTTGTTAGGCCTTCCGATTATATGCGAGAAGTAGACGCGAGAAAAACATACCAATGAATGCAAGGCATCTCTCTAGCTCCTGAGTCAAAGGGTCAATACCATTATCCTGCACTTCATTGATATACAACAGATTTTCGGCTCCCCATTTTTCAACGTCCTCGGCCATCCAGGACAGAGGTTCCCCAACGCTTAGTATTCTGCGAATCCCCAAGGACCAAAGTAGCTCCGGGTTGGTGGCGTGAGCCAAATTCCCAAGATACATGTAAGGCAATATTCGACTGGGCAAAGAGCCATCCATTTTTGTCATCCAGTTTGGGCTAGGTCGATGTGTTAGTTGTCGAGCCCTTGGATTTGGGCTCTCACTTAGCAATTTTTGTTGAATCCCTAAGAGGAATGTGACGTCAGTTGGATAGGCGAAGAAATTTCTCTTTTTCTCACAATGTAGCCTTAGCCAGGCTTCATGAGCAGGGGCACCTTCGGCATACATGAAATATGCCAGGGCAAGAAGAGAGCTTTCAGTATAACCATCCCCACAATGTATGAAGATTTTGCAAGGTTTCGTAGTAGCTGGTTTCATTGGTATATCACCATCTTTATTCTCAGAAAGAGACTTTCTCCTGCGTGGATTGACAAGTTGATATATCCATCTGCAAGTAGCAATAAAGTCATAAACTTCGGGTTGGCTCCATGAGGATGCCATAATGCTACCTGACGATGGAAATTCAATATGATGCGGGCCTTTATGGAGCTGTGACGATATCTTAGCCAAGTATCTTGTATCGGGTATACTGGCACCGTCGTGCGTTTCAATAAAAACGTCATAATGACTAGTTGGCGGCCCGCCCATGTCGTAACTCAAATCCGGGGATGGCCCTTGCCAAACATTTTTCGTTATCTCGGTTGCCTGAGACATGCTGTACATTTCTAGACGCTCCCAAAGGACTGAGCGCGTGTTAGCAGTGTAAAGGATATCATAAGATGTAAAAGAGAGAGAGAGAGAGGCCTTACAGAAGTCCATAACATGGCCTGTCAAGATCCCGTTTTGGTTAATGGCTACTATATCAGGGTGCTGGTGCTCTATATCTTGAAATGAACCTGTTTCACAGTTAGCTACCATGGGTGAACTCTCGGCTGGTTCTTTTGAAAACATGGGTGGATGGTAACTTACTGGAAACTACAAACGTGTTAAATAGTCTGGTCTCTTGACCAGGATCATATCTCCTCATCCATTCTTCCTGCGCAGTAGATATATCAACCGCAACAGCCAAGACGCTTTCCTCACTCACGTCATCGTCTCCGTATACGATAATATCTGATATAGCAGCAAGTTTTGCTGTCTGAATATGAAAATTTCTGACTGAGAAGCCTTCAGGGGGGTCTGCATCAATGAAACTGGATCCAGCCAGGATTTCGTCAGGAGCAACGGCACCCTTAAGCTTAGCCTTCGTCAAGTCACCACCAACTTTCACCACTGTAATTGATCTAAGGCATTTTGGTATCCGCCGTAGAGTTCTACGACGAGATACGAAAAACGACAGTTGAATCTGGTTCTCAGGGTGTAACCCATGGAGCCATGGGAACAGTTTAGACGGATCAGGAAGGGGTCTTGTTGCTAGATCGTCGAGAGCAATGGCTAACTGTTTGCCATTAATTGAGAATACCGGTGGATGGTTATACACCTGATGGTATCTGTTATCTGGTGGGTATAAGGCAGTTGGGTGCTGAACGCTGAATTGTTTGCTTGAAGATGAGCTGGAAGATGAATAGGAGGCAGCAGGGAGCTTGGAGTTGGCTGGGGCGGGTCCAGTAGGGCAAATAGGTAAATGTTTGTTTGGAATTGGAGTTTGACTGCGGGTTGATGATGCGGTGAGACTGATCGTTGGTGTTCCCATTGGTGGTGGAGTAGGGGTTTGTCGCACCGTATGGTGCTGAAGTATGGCTGCTGCCATAACAGTAAAGAGCAATGCTCCTTTTCTTTGTACGTGGGTAGGTGGGTGCTTTTTGTAGATAGAAGGAAGGAAACGTTGAATTGTTCGTTAAATTTATTGTTGTTTGAGGTCGAGGCCCAGGTACAAGCCAGCTACATTATCTGCCCGATTGACACCCAATGTTGTTGTAGCGTATGGAAGTATCGACGAGGCGGTTGGGCTTATAATTATAAAATGAAGCTCAGGTTGAGATGGGTGATGGCGTGTGCTTATGAGCATAGACGGCTGGGGAATCGATATCCAACGAGGGGTATAGTGCCTAGCAGAGGAACAAGGGTTAGCAGCTGGTTACTTCTGGCTACCATGGCTAAGTCTCGCCAAAACCTTTGATCTCACAATGATGACGATTCTTCATCTAGAGAAAGTGTATATATAACCGACTTACTTGTTTGTCAGACACGCCTCGCTAGATTCCTGTTGACAGTTTAAGCCTGTGGATAGCTAAGAAGCAAACCAGGTAAAACCACCCCCAACTTGTAAGCATGCGGCAACCTCGAGGTAGAGAAAAAAAGAAATGCGATGACGGGTAAGAATAAGGGCGTATATGAGTGACGCGCAGACCACTGGGTTGGGGTGAAGATAGCCCTGGGGTGTAGCTGAATGGGGGGGGGGCGGGAAGAAGTAGTATATGGATGGTGGATGGTGGAGGAGTGGAAAAGAAGGGTCGGAGGCGGGGATCAATGGAGACAAGGTAATGGGTACTTCGGTTAGTTAGCCGCCACCCGCAAGCGCGAGGTACTCGGTACAAGCAGCCAATAAGGTTTTGAGTCCAACTGGAAAGAACGCGGAAAAGTGGGGATGAACGGGGCCGCTAGTCCGCTTTTGAATGCTTTGGAAGTTGAATTAACCAATAGGGGCACGTGATGTATGCAAGCTTCTGGTCACGTGCAAAGTTTAAATAGAGGCCGAAGAAGGTAAAGTTGATATCAAAAGAAAGGAGGCTTAGGGGTGCGCTGAAGAAAGAGGGAGAGAACGAGGCGAAGAAGAGGCGTGTACGAGGAGGACGAGGGTGAGAGTGTTGAGGAAGACGAGGTGATACGATCATGGTGTGCTTGGAGCGAGGTAGCTGGCTGGTTCAACGGCTTTCCATGATGTACCGCTGCGGAACATCCGGAGGTGCGACAGGTCAAGGATGCGACCTTGATTCCGTGTTTGCACCCTAAAAACAAGAAAGTACTGCGCTCGTAATGCATACTCACACCGGGGATGGACAAGGGAATAAAAGGAATATAGATATTGTGGTCCGCCCTCCATTTATCGGCTAACCAGCAGAAGTAAAACCGCGAGGGTGAGGAAGTGTGTGGGTTACACCGTTCTGACGATCTGCTATCCGCAACTGTTTCTATCTCCTGGCTGCTCGTCTTCGCTCTTGATCAGTTACATGGTAGTATGTGGAAGAACTCAGTATACATAGTCACCATGGTGCCACTGGTGGAGACACAGTGGAGCAGAGATACAAAGTGAAGCGTCCCAGGCCACATCGTCACTCTCGGGGGTTGCCTTAATTCACTGGGCCAAGTCGGACGACGCTAGGATCGAGGAGTTGATCCAAGTACTCCGTACGAGCCTTCTGCATTCTATTTCAATTCACTTTCTGGCGCTCGAGCAAGCCGATAGGGTACTTGTGTATGCACGCTGGTGCCCAACTTACATCGCTCGAGCTTTGCAAGATCGTGGCGTCGCTTAACGAGACACATCCAGGAATGGAAACGACGCGCGTGTTGGACAGCACAACTAGCTCGTCACTTAGTTAACAAGTTAACAGCAGGTGATCAAAAAAAAAAAAAAAAAAATTAAAAAAAAATTGAGAGGATGGCTTCCCACGCACCCCTTGAAAGGCGATGCCTATTTAGAGCGATTTGCCCGCAGCCTAACTGACGCTGTGACGGTATTCCAACAGGGGCGCTTTACGTTAAGCGTTGATTTTTCGTTGGTATCTCCGAATCTTAACTTGCCAAATAATCCTTTAGTTTAGAGTAGAAGGGAACTTTTCTGATAATTATAGTTTAGTTCCCAATGCCAGTGCTAGCAGTGAAATGCTCTAGCTTCGATAGTTGGTCATCCCCCACTGTTCTGGGTACAGAAGGATCTGTAGATGGTCGAAGCATTCGCCATTCATTATCCCTGATATAAGAGCTTCCAGAAGATAACACCCAGGTGCCATTGTTCCAATATGTGCCAAAGGCAAAGCACACTGCTCCTCCACCTACGATCAAGATCCTGCCGCCTCCAACCGGGATGGAACTGTGGCCAACCAAAAGCGGCCGTGCATGGACAGGAGATCTCCAGGACATCAGAACAGATATTTCACTGGTATCTTCGTACTCAAAGACGCTGAGGTCCAGGGTTAAGACTTCATACTCGTGTGGTATACACCCATCAACAGCAATTCCTCCGATGAGAACAAGGCTCTCTCCAAGTCGATGCGCCGTGGAACCAAAACGACTAACCCATTTGGATATTTGTGGATGAAAACCTTCCAGTCGAGCCTTCTCATCTGTTAATCGGATATATATATCCCCAGTATCATCAGTGAATATCTGCCATGTCCAAAAATCATCTAGCACTAAGCCATCTTGAGACATTCCTCCAGTAAGGACTCCTCTCCCCTTACCAATGCTAGACATGACAGATCCGAAGCGCGGCATGCAAGAGCCACCATTTTTCGATAATACTGTCCAAGTTTCTATGCCGCTGTTGTTTCTCCACAGGAAAAATTCCCCACTAACAGTGCCATTCGACGATTTTCCGCCGTAGACAAGGACACCTTCTTCGCCGGTAGGAAGCATAATAGCAGTTGCAGAGTGTCGAAAGGATGCAGTTGGAAAGGGACATGATTGTCGCCACGTATCCCCTTCCATTAACCAGGTATCATTTAAGGCCTTTGACGGTGCGGTTCTACCCCCAACTAATAGATATCTGTTATTCGACATCTGCGTTATGCTATGGCATACCCGTGCTGGGAGTGACTCTGGTGGTACACATTTTACGGCAGCATACGCGGCATCTGATTGCACATATGTATCAGTAGACGAAAGACGAGCTTGTTGTCCCAACCCCGCATGAAAACCAATTTGATCACCAAAAGAAAATAAGGCTCCAAATCGCTTGTGATGGGTTGGACCTGCTGTAAAATTAGCAGTCATCCGGGGTTGAGTATCCAACAGTTCTGTAGTTGTATTAATGATCGCTTCGTCATTGCTATTGCTTGCTGTCGCCCGCGTACTAGCTCTGAGCAAGAAATAGTGTGAAGCAAACAAAGCAATCTCTTCCCACTCATCAAAAGCTTCAAACTGGTCAAGAGATGCTCGTGTTTCAGCGTCTATGAAACTGGGGTCACTCCAAGCTTCCCACAAGCTTCTAGCTCTTGCTTGCTTCCAGCCCACTTTGAGGAATCGCTGCTCCTGCTGGGTTAATGTGGGATATTTATGAATTGACTGAATCGGAGCACGCCATTTGGTGAAATGCGCTACCATGGTTCTTGCAAAGGGATGGTCAGGGCCATCTGGGAAGAACTGCTCCAACAACCCAAATTGGGTATCTGATAATAAGCTGGTTAGCATATACTCTTCAATTAACCCAGCATCGTATAAGAATGTAAGAGGAGAATAAGCGCTGACCATTACCCAGTCTCGCAGCCCATGATATTAAAGCATCGGCGGCCTTGACTGCCATATAAGTTAAAGCTACCTCAGCAGTGCACAGTATGGAGTATTCAGATGTGTCCACTTCAGATTTTAGCATTCGTTCCAACTCTGAAAGGTTTCCAAGATCGCATCCAATTCCAATATACTGTTTGGCACGGATAACAGGACCACCCACACTCGATGAAACTGCGTCAGGGATAAGCTCCCTGAGCTCAGGGCTTCTTTGTATGGCTTCCCATTTTTCCAGCATCATTTTGCGGTGATCAATCTCAACAAATATGGTATCTTCACATAGACTTGGATTCTGAGAAAGTAATTGAAAAACTAATGGGTCACTATACAAAACAAATTAGAAGATTGATTGTGTTAATGAAGTTCTTTCATTCAGTCTCCGAGATGCTGGAGGTTACAACTCACAATCCACATCCAAAATTAATGACCAGTTTTGGGCGTCCTGTCACCTCTTTGAGGAACCCTGTAACAGTATGCTCAATAGCAAACATTCGCAACCAATACCCCCGGTTTATCAAGGGAGCTCTGCGTGGGGAAGACTTGACAAAATGCCGAAAGAAGTGAGGTTCCTTGTAGTATATTCGCTCAACGCTACGTTTGGAGACGATACTACTTCCATTCGTCTAGAATAAAGTCTTAGCAAGATAAAAAGAGTGAAAAAAAAAAGCCAATAAAAACGCTTACCCCCATCACCATGCCCGCTTCTTTCTCCGTCTGGAGCTCAGTGATTTTGTTCCTCATCATAGCGCTACTTCGGTCCTCTCATGAAGCTCACACTCTGCAACTGCGCGCCAACACAGCCCGTGTTATGATAATACCATGAGCCCGGTTGGTCAGGACCAAAGGAGTCCTGAGAAGGAAAAAAGATGCCAAGTCTCGATAGAAATAATATTAACTTATCGATAAGAGTCACATGATATAAGCCTCAAAAATGATCTGTGCATCTTCCCGTGCGTCATATGATGGGCGCTAAGCCGCTTTCGGCCAAGCCACCCTGCACCTGCGTATGACTTCCGTCACTTTTCCTCTCATCGGCGATGTTTGCTCAAAACACCAACTCGTTGCGTTTGCCAGAGTCGCCATTTCAACATTCGGCAGAACGTTCAGCATACCTCCAGCAGTACAACAATATTGCCTCCTTGCCTCCCCCACCAACTGGCCACCTCGCTACCAGCTTTGTGTCTCTGGCCGCACAGTTCTACCTACTCTTGGATGATGCCTGCCACCTCGGACGCTTGACGCAACACTCCAGACGCTCGGAGAATTGGAGACCTACCTCGACATCCTCCCAGAGGTAGAGACGACGTACGGAGTTTTGAAGTTATCCTCGCTATCTGTGGCATTGGGCTGCCTGAGCAACTCTCCAGTCATACTATCTTGTCTACATTTTCGACTCCGCTCTCTACACGACAACTTGGCGCATCATGGCGATGAATTTTGTCACATTTAACCAGGACTATAGCTACCTAGCTGTCGGTATGACTCTTCATATGGATGGCCTTTCGTACTGGAAACATCTTTTAACCCGTGCGGACTTGTGCAGGCACCGCGAAAGGCTTTCGCATATTCTCGACCGACCCCTTTGTGAAGAGCTATGAGACAAAAGAAGGAAATATCGCCATGCTAGAGATGCTATTTTCCACATCTCTTGTCGCACTGATACTCTCTCCTCGCCGGCTTCAAATCACGAATACAAAGGTGAGTGGATAATTCACTTGAAGAAGCAGAGTTGCGGTACATTCTACCTGATGGAATGGCTAATGATTGCCTGAATATTTTAGAGACAGTCGATTATTTGTGAACTGACCTTCCCTACAACTGTGCTCGCTGTGCGCCTCAATAGAAAGCGCCTAGTTATCGTACTGGAGGATCAAATCTATGTCTATGATATCCAGACGATGAAACTGCTGTACACGATTGAAACATCACCAAACCCGAACGGTAATACTACATATCTAAGACTTCTTTTTCTGGTTAACTCACGGACCCAGGCTAATACATATAATTTAGCTATTTGCGCTCTGTCTCCATCGTCTGATAATTGCTATCTTGCTTATCCGCTTCCGCAGAAGGCTCCTCCTCCATCGTTCACTGCTCCTACCCACACTCCTCCAGGAAATTCACATATTGCTCCCACGAATGGAGAGGTGTTAATATTCGATGCCCAAAAGCTTGAAGCCATCAATGTTATAGACGCGCATCGATCACCACTGTCGTGTATCTCATTGAACAATGATGGTACCATGCTTGCTACCGCATCTGATAAGGGCACAATTCTTCGTGTCTTTTCGGTCCCTGACGGCCATAAGCTGTATCAATTTCGCAGAGGATCGATGCCATCGACTATATACAGCATGTCATTCAACACTACATCTACCCTGCTGTGTGTCTCATCTGCCACGGAGACCGTGCACATCTTCAAATTGGGCCACCAAGGAACAGCAACCGGCTCCCCCGGTTCAACTGGAAGCGCGAACAGTTCACCACCGGGAAGCCGTCCGCGTGCGACTTCTGGTAGCAAAGGGCCAGACATGGATGGATTCTTGGGACGCAAACATGATGGTACGTTCATGGGTTTGATAAGACGCACCTCACAGACACTCGGAACCTCAGTTGCTGCCACGGTAGGCGGATACCTGCCTAAAGGTGTGACGGAGATGTGGGAGCCAGCACGCGATTTCGCCTGGATTAAACTGCCCAAGCATACCACAAATTCTCAGCCACGGTCCGGGCCTGTGAGAAGTGTTGTTGCAATGAGTAGCAATACGCCGCAGGTGATGGTGGTGACGAATGATGGTGTCTTCTACGTCTTCAACATCGATCTTTCGAAAGGCGGCGAGGGTACACTGACTAAACAGTATTCGTAAGTCCAGCTTCCCCTTACTTTGAAACATCTTTTCTCTGTTTGATATTCCGTCGATTTATGGCTAGGCCCGCTAATTTGATTACGTTTCTAGCGTCCTCGACTCCAGCGAGAGACTGGGATCGTCAGCAGCTGACTCCTGACCTAGCCAGACTGAAATATGGCAGCGTCCAATGAGAAGGAAAAAGTGGCTGAAGATAAGTAAAACCACTAGCGATGGGTTGCTGGTGGGCTTGCGGGTACTGCAGCGGGTGAATCATGTCAATCACGCTTATCTCTCCATCTCGACGTTTTAAAATCATTTCTCCTGTCTTTTTATCATTTATTTTGGTGTCCGGATTTCGTCTCAAGGCAGCTCACTCGTTTCCTTTCTTACGAACGAATTGCATCTGTGTTTTTTTTATGTGTTGCAAGGGCGTTTGATCGTGAGGGTGTATGGATGTTTGTCTATTTAATTGCTACTGCTGCATGGCTAAAGCAGTGTTCCCCCGGTACTCAAATGTATGCATTCTATCTCTCCCCACGAAGATCGTCCTACCCAATTTTGTCTCCCCTGCGGGGAACATGTTTGTCCAGTCAATCCACAACGGAGATCATACAAAGGGAGATAACTAGTATAAAGTCATGCATGAAAGGGAGCGAACTGTACACCAAGCCCGAAGACACCACGATCATCCGTCCGTATCTTTTGGCCGACAGCTCGCAATGACGCAAAAGAGACACCATCTGATCGCTCCCAAGCGTTCATCGTATTCAGGTTGTCTGCCGTAGTTATTCCGGGTTTCCGGCCATCAGAGAACGGCCCTCCTTCGCTGCCGGAGACAAGGGCGCACCCAACCCCGGCACCCGCAGAAGGAGGGCCAGTCCAGGGTTCACCGGCTTTCCCAAATTTCGTCGATTTATGGGCCTTCCCAGCTCCACTGAGGTAAACCACGAATCCTCCAGCTGCGGTCCTCCATGCGGGATGATGGGCTATCCGTCGACCTAGGTCAACCGGCTTCGACCCGCCGGATGCTAGGCTCCCGGAAGATCGAGTTCCAAGTTGGCCGTAGACTCATGAAGTCTCATATATATAGGCTGCGTCTTCTCGCCATCTTGTCAACATTATTGTCCTCGCCATTGTCCTCTTAATGCGAGTCCTCTATCGTCGTAGGACATTCCGTATAACTAGTTAGTTATATAGTTGGTTATCCGGAACAAAGCAACTCGGGCAGCTGGTGGGCAAGATGAGCGTCCCGCTGACGACCCTCAGCCAGGGCTGCATCGACTCGCCTCCTCCCCAGCCGGAGATGAGAGAAGGTATGCATTAACCGTCTAGTCAACCAACGGGATAGACCAGTGCTGATAGTTTCGATAACTACTGCTAGTTGACGAGGAGAATAGACATGCTGCTTCGATCAATTCATCTCACTCGAATCTGCCGAAATGGAACAAGCCGGCTATCAATCTGTGGAGGTTCGCGGCGGCGAACTATACCTTTATCATCCTCGGTGCCAACGATGCAGCGTATGGGGTGAGCTTCATCATTGTCGAGAATCCAGCCAAGGGGTTGACAGATAACTAACTGACTGACTCTTTTATTTTGATATCGGTTAGGCTGTGATACCATATGTATGTATTACAACCCCCAACTGCTTCTCGGCGTCGAGCTAACTGAAATATCTAGATTGAAAAACATTATAATATCTCGTATACAGTTGTCTCTCTGATCTTCTTGTCGCCTCTGGGTGGCTATGCAGCGGCAGCGACATTCAGCAACATGATTCATATGAAGCTGGGTCAGCGTGGTATTGCTTTCCTGGGGCCATGCTCGCATATCCTGGCTTATGTTGCTGTCTGTCTTCATCCACCATATCCAGCCCTTATCGTTGCCTTCATTTTTGCTGGTTTCGGTAACGGAATTGCCGATGCAGCTTGGAATGCATGGATAGGTGGCATGGCAAATGCAAATGAACTCCTCGGTCTACTCCATGGCTTCTACGGTCTAGGAGGAATGCTTGCTCCTCTTATTGCAACTGCTCTTATTACCAAGGCCGGATGGGAATGGTACGAGTTTTACTATTTGCTCGCCGGGGCCTCCTTCTTGTCTCTCGCCTTTTCCCTCCCGGCATTCTGGAGTGCAACCGGATCCAGATATCGAGAGGCTCACAGTGACTCATACGATGAAGTCGAATGTCATGGAAACAATATCAATGCCTACACACCTCCGGTACAGGTAAACAAGCTTATGGTTAAGCTGTTGGGCAAGACCAGGATGGCAGAAGCGTTGAGTAACCGGGTAACCTGGATATGCAGTATCTTCCTTGCAATTTACGCCGGAGCAGAGGTCGGATTGGGAGGTTGGATTGTAACCTTCATGATAAATGTCCGACATGGTTCACCCTTTGACTCTGGAGTCACTGCTACAGGCTTCTGGCTGGGGATTACACTAGGTCGGATGATCCTAGGGTTTGTTACCCCTAGATGCTTCAAAACAGAAAAACATGCCGTTGTGTTCTACCTTGGATGTTGTATTGGGCTGGACCTGGTATTCTGGCTTGTCCCTAATTTCTATGCTTCTGCTATCGCTGTTGCATTTATGGGTTTCTTCCTAGGGCCGTTGTTCCCAGCAGGTGTCGTTGCAGCAACTAAACTACTACCAAGAAACCTCCACGTTGCTGCTATTGGTTTCACATCGGCCATGGGTGCCTCAGGAGCAAGTACTTTGCCGTTTGCTGTCGGTGCCATCGCCCAGGCAAAAGGAGTCGAGGTTCTGCAGCCGTTCATACTAGGAGTACTGATTCTCTGTTTGTTAGTCTGGATGTGTCTACCCAGTCTTCCAAGGAGCAACATTCGCATTTGAAACTGCGGGATGGGATAGAACATAGGGGTATATATGGAGGCGGAAACTTCTTTAGTCAATTTCAGTCTAGGAAATCAGGGAGGATAACTTATGAGAAACGAAACGCATTATAGTCATTCAAAGACTGGGTTAGGCATATATATTGATATATATAAACAATCCAACACCTTATACATGACATCACAGCGCACTTCCAGCTATCTCATTCAGGTAAAGAAGTCATTACTCCAAGGTCAAGCGGTAAAGAGAATACTTCAGGCGTTTTGACAACACACAAAGTCGCCGCCGCCAGGACAAACCGGATCTAGCATATGTTAGGTGCATCATACGGGACATCAAGCATTTGGATATTCAACCTACCCGGGAGTACGGTTCCTATGCACTCGTTTTTCCATTTGCATACCGCATTCCTTCCCTTGCCCGGACAGGGAGAGATCTCACATCCCCACACATTATTCCCATCAAAGGGACAGGCCCAGTTCTTTGTCTCCGGAGTTCCCTGGTACGCCCATCCATGATAGGTATTGGTGCAGACGTTGTGATCCAAGCAAATACAGCGATCTGTGTTCCATTCTCCGTAGCATCTACCACCCACAGCAGCAAATGTGGGTGTAGGCAGGAGTAAAAGTGTGGCAAAAAGAGCCTTCATTTTCGAACAATCTGTCCTTTGACTTCGCGAGGGTAATGTCGAAGAGTGATTCTGCTTGGGAATGAGGGCCAAAATCATTGTTTCTTGATGATGAGGCTGAGGGACAGTTAGGGTATATATACTTGGACTATTTATAGTCACTCTTTGGATATCGTATTTCTCGTGAATCTCTTATCATTCGATGTCTATGGTTGGGCAGAGATGGGTGAAATGGCTTTGAGGAGCTGGAAGATCGTCATTTTACGAGCCAACATCAAACGATCAGCCACTCATAACTAATTGCTGCCTGACACATGGTCAATTTTCTTGATGGAGAGACGCTTTTTCATCGTTGTCATCTGGACCTTGCATCCAACGTGGTTACTCTGGACATTCCTGGTGAAATACCTTGAATGTTGTGCAGCGATAAACACCAAGCCCTGTGTTTGTATGAAGAAGCTATATAGTCTGCCGACGACCTCCCATTTGTACGGAGTACTTCTTTGATGAATAAATAGAGATAATCAAGACAACTGCTTTTGTGCTCCCCGACTCGTTTCACGCTCGTAGGCAGTTGACTACATACCCGCTTCAGAGTGTTCATTATTTTCCTTCCCAGAAGCAGAAAATAACAAGTTAACTAGTTAACCACGTCAACACAAGGTGAAGCAGTTAGTTAATGCAAGACAAGCTCGGGATTATGAAGGCAAATACTTACTGAGCAGCGGCCTGCCCAAGTTATAAATAACCAAATAGCCGAAGAGTGCTTGTATGTACTTCATCCCAAACTAGTCCTTGCGCCCTCTAGAGTCCCAACGTTCGGACGTCCCCAGGCCAGATGATATTATTCCTCCATCCTGATACCCTTTCCAGGTCAAATATCGCTCCTTTGCCGTTCACGATACGAGTAGCTGGAGGATGGCAGTGGGTCGGCCTGCTGCCACGCGCGTGATGCATCCCACAGTGCAACGTCGAGGGACTGACGTTCCACATGTTCACCAATCGAAGCCATGCTGAAAACATGTCGCTGGCACCGTGGTAATGAGCTTCAAGGATCCAGGACGGCTGGACTCGATCAAGGAACAAGGGGACAACCAATCGCCATATCTGGGCCCTATTGGAGTGTTACATTCCACCGCAGGGGAATACTAATATAGCTGTTTTCATTTGGTTCAAGAAGCCAGTGACAGCTTTGCCTGCAGGTGCTATAATTCCGCAAGGATAATAATACACGTTTCCCGCTTTGTCACTGCTGTTCAGAGCTGCAAGAGAGACATGTACCCATGGCAACTGCTATAAAGTGCATGCGCCCTCCCATGTCTTCAAGTTGTCGGTTGAAAATATTGTCCTGCGTTTCCTTCCTCCGCATCTTTTCATACAGAGTTGACATATCCAGGCATCTCTAAAAAATGCGCCTTCACTCTGTCCTTGCGGTGGCTACAGCTGTCGGCTGTGCGGTAGCCCATGAACCTATCATCCAAGTTCCCAAGTGTCCCTGGAATGCTCTGATTAATTTCGACAAGACTGTTCCTGACCAAAAACCCTTCCCACGGACGACCATTAGGCTTTGCTATAACAGCAAGACATTCAGCTTGAAGTTCGAGGCAAAGGACGAAAAGTATTTCTACTTCGACCCTTCCCACAAGATAAACGATGATATCTGGAAATATGAAGTGATGGAAGCCTTTATCTCTACCGGCCATGCCGATCCTTCAACATATCTCGAATTTGAAGTCAGCCCCAACAACGTCACATACCAGGCCTTTGTCTACAACCCATCCAAGAACCGAGCAGACGGCGCTCCATTTGACCACGCCTTCATCAGCAACCCCATAGCAGACGGAATCACCTCGAAGACATCTCTTGCTCAAACCCAAGGGAAGTGGACTTCAGACGTGCAGATCCCTCTTGCTCTCTTTAATGTGGACACTCCCCGCGGCTCGAAATGGCGCATGAACTTTTTCCGCACTGTGACTTCTAAAGAGACTTATCCAGATCAGATCTTGGGTGCTTGGAATTCACCAGACAAAGCTAGCTTCCATATAACGTCCTTTTTTAGAAAAATTGTCTTTGTCTAGAGGCAGTCTGGTGGCTGAATACGGCTCTGTCCAGAGTTGACACGCCATGATTTAATGCGGAGATTGGCCCTAGTTAGCAGCGTACAGCTCATGTGCAAGACGACCTTATCCATGGCAGAAGATTTAATTTATTTATAAAGAAAAAAAAGCACCTCTGATGTTATTTCAGATATTCATCGTTGCTTCGTTGTCTTCGTCGTGGCCAAAACTGTCAAAACAAGAATATTAGTCAAGCTCAGGCTCAATGAACCATCACGTGATTGGTCGTGGATTTTCGACCATGTCGAGGCTGATATTGACGACTTTCCGTCATGATCTGGCTCAGTTTGACAATGTATCAATCGGAGGGAATATATGCAGCACATATTCGAGAATGCACAATGCAAGACCACAAAATCCCGAGAGAAGGCCCAGAAAGAAGGCTGTAAACCCTTCTGTTCAGCGTGCAGTCAAACTCTTTATCGATAATTATCTTGAACCTTCATTCATGCTGGACAACAACGTTGATCTGGACAGTTTACTGTCTTCTGTCAGTAAAAGATTTACTATATACGAACCCCTTCTTCTTCTCCCTCCAAACTTTTTCAACAAGAGCCCTCAATGGGAATCGTTCATTTCCCTTTTAACCAGTGCCCAACTGCAAGAGTTATACGCCTGCATAGCGGAGGTTTTTTTACCGATGGGCGTAACTCATGTAGCAGTGAATGCTCCTATTTCACTTACTACTCGTATTGAAGAAGAGAATAAAGTACGAGGCCCGACAGATTTCACCCCTTTATTAGGAGATTTTGGCCCAATGATACCCTCTGCAGACCAAAACATACACCCATCAGAGACAGATCTCCAGGAAGCATTCTGGGTGAAGACTGTGCAAAACTCCAAGATAACCCAAGTCTGGGCTCCATTATATACAATGTTTAGCCGTGGGAATATCGTGGAGAAGGCAAGAATTCTTGGACTAGAATCAAGGTTTGATGGCTTGACCGAACAGCAACTCTGTCAGCCTGTGCAAAATATTTCCGTGGTAGACCTGTACGCTGGAATTGGCTATTTTGTATTTTCGTATTTGAAAATGGGCGTGGCCAGGGTTTGGGCTTGGGAGCTTAACGGTTGGTCCATTGAAGGCCTGCGGAGAGGATGTGAAGCAAACAAATGGGAAATAAAGATATTGAAGGTGAACAATGAAGGGACGGTTGATGGGATTGACGACCTGGTTGAAATGATGGGAGATGACAACCTGCGAGTGATTGCCTTCCACGGTGATAACGCCTTCGCTGCCGGTGTTATGCAAGACATCAAGGCCAAGGTGGAGGCAAGGAGAGCTTGGAAGCCAATACGACATGCTAATCTGGGCCTCTTACCAAGTTCAAAAGACACTTGGGGCAGTGCCACAGCTTTGATAGATCCAGAAATGGGTGGATGGGTTCATGTGCATGAAAACGTCAATGTTCACGAAATACATGAGAAGCGGGCTGCAATTGTTGCAGAGTTTAAAAGACTACAGTCCAAGCAAGAACTTATAGATCGTCATGCCTCGAGCGAGGTAGAGTGTGTGCATGTTGAAGAGGTCAAGACTTATGCTCCAGGCGTGATGCACTGCGTTTTCGACCTGAATATCCGACATTCCCAAGTTTTGACCGTGAGAACGCAGGATGAAATTACTTAGCCAAGTTATTGTTGCATACGACTAGTAGGCGCGTTGCTACAAAGAACACTGGCGAGTGGTATGGTATATACACTGGCATTAGAATTCTATTAAACATGCTAAATGAAACCATGCAGTATTCTATTCGTTCAGACATATCCAGCTAACTGAATGGGAGATATTCTGTAGATGTACTTGAAGTGAAGACACATCAGCCTAACAATTTGAATTAGAAAGCTTACGCACTTGGACTTTTCAAAAATTTGGCAGGAATATTGGCAAGCACAATATCCATGCTTTCAAGCTTCTCCAATCTGAGGCTTTCGGCATACTCCCTGTCATGCTTTCTAAAGTGTTCAATATCCTCCGGATGGGTCAAATCTTCCTCTTTTGCATCATCTCCATGGTACTTCTCAAAGTGATGAATTTCATATTCGTACTCCATGTCACCATGGTGTCCGGGTCCAGTTCCAAAATCAGGCAGCTTCTTGCCTTGCTGTGTGAGACGCACATAGTCGTTGGCTGAAATCACGCCTGTCTTAAGAGGGTCGAAGATATTAAAAACCTCTCGAAGTATTTGTTGTTTTCGTTCTTCGGTTAATGCCGCATTCGATTCATCATCCAGACCATATGTTCGTCGCACTTCGTCTGTTGTCCATAACCCGGAGTTATCATAGTCGTGTAGTGAAAAGAAGGATCTGGCGTCAAATGATGTGATGTGGTGCTCCTCTATAACAATTCTAACTTGTCAGAGACAAACTCGTGCCAAATATTTTTTTACAAAAAGCAAAAGAGCATTCAACCACGGAACTGCTGGTTGGACTCGATGATTTAATAAACATACCCATCATGTGGAGGGTTGCCCAGTCGAGGTTGGAGCGATCTTGGTTATCGCCATGAGACCCATGGGCGTAGATAGAGGGGGTGAATGCCAAAAGGGCTAGTAAAATACTCCGTGGGCTAATCATCGTGAGATACGGTATGCCTTTCGACACTGTGAGCCCTTCAATTGCTGCTGGATATCGGGAGGTACCCTCCACTGGCAACCCTTTGTAGATCTGATAGAGTCGGCATACGCTACACTTGAGCGCGAAAATTTGCATTGTTTGCACTAGCCCTACCTTTTGCTTATGTAATATACCAAAAGTCAATTTTGCCTAGACGAAGAAATATGTCCATGGAGGGCTTCGATCGTTGATATCAGCAACTCATGCCATATTGCCGCTCCGAACGCCCGCAATTAACGTCCACAGCATGGATTCCTTCACTGTCCTGCGCCAGGGACCATCTTTGATATAGAATACAACTCACGAGTATCCTTCCCCCACCCCAATCGCCGCCCTCCGATGCCCCGTACACATTCCGCATGATGAAGACGTTTTGGCCACGGGCCCAGATACAGGCCTATACCTGCCGATGTGGCTCTTGCTTGAAGAGCTCTACTTCAAATGCTGCATCTAACCGGACCGTATCTGCGGCGAGTCGAAGGCGGCTGTTAATTGGGAATAGCGTCACCGGATTTTATGCCACTTTATTTGCTGCTGCTGTTGCATGGGATACTAGCGTCAAGACAAGAAGGAGGATTGAGAGACAACAAGAAATTGAGGCCGTGAAAGCAGAGGTTGAAGCGCTCGAGCTTGATCAACTCCGTCGATTAGAAGCTCTAGCATCAAGGCAGAGGTTTCGGACGTCAACACCATCACAACAACGGAGGGGATACAGTACATCTACAAGGCCGGACACATTTCGGCGCACTTACCGTGGATTATCCACCCAAGCTGTCGGAGCTCAATGTCGAAACTCAGAAGTCGAAGCGCTTGATGTGGAATACATCAATTTAGGGACGGAGAAGCCAGCAACCCCACAGATAAAATCACACCCCCGCGAGCTAACGAATTACGATTTGGACGTGGACCCCAGATCTGAGGCCGAAATAGAACGATATGAAAGCGACCTCTCACTTAACGATATTCTACGGCAACGGGCGATCCTCCGATTAGCTGCAAGACAACTAGCAATTAAGATGATCCTACGACCTGCTCTAGCTCACTTGTACGCTGGCGTTCCGTTCACTTCTCGGACATCTTGCATCCTCCCGGATATCGAAATAGAAAAGCTTCTGGAAGAACTTGAAGATATCCGGGTTAGAATAGCTAAACTCCGGAGTTCTCGGGATGCATGGTTTGGCGATCTTGCCAGGAATATCACAATAGTGGAGCATGAGAATCTAATCGCAGAGAGGGCTGCTTTGAATGAAGATTTGAAGCGGATGTATACCATGTACCAAGACGACGAATTGACGTCTCGAGATCTGCTTGTCAAAGTTGCAGAAAATATCTTATCATCTGAAGAGCCATTATCACGACTTTCCGTGTCTTTAATGATAAGGATGTTTGGTCGGTCAAGGCAAAACGATGTGGTGAATATGATAATTGACTCGATATTTCCAAATGGTCTTATTCTTGGAGAAGGAGTGATTATAGCCACCCTGGACTTTTTCAACAAGTCCAAAGATTTGTACAGGTTTGATGGTTTCTTAAACAGGTTGCTCGGAGGAAAACTGCTACGTTTACCGCAGTATTGGAAACTCACCAAGGTCGGCAACATCGAAATTCCAGTACCACCAAGGGGCAGCGATCATGCAATTTTGAGCACACTTATATCTTCCGCTCTTGGTTTTAACCAGCCGCAGAGGGCAGATGCTTGGTTAGCCGTCATGAGACATCGTGGATATTCAGACAATCCGCACATACTAGGGTCTTACCTACGATATTATGCGCAACAACAGGACTGGGAAAGGGGTGGTTTGCTTCTCTTGAGAGTGGTAGACTATATATCTTCCACTGTGGCGGATAATGAAGGCCAATTTGAACGATTGATATTATACATGGCCGCCTTCTGCAATTCTTGTGGAAAAGACAGACTGGGGAACTCCATTTTAAAAGCTGCTGCTGTCCATGGTATTGATTGGCAAGATGCCTACAATTCTACCGATGAGAGAATCGTCATTTTGTCCACTTTGGAGCGGTGGCGGGCAGCTGCGGAACTTCCCAAACTTCCTGTTTCCCAATTATCTGTTGATGAGAGACACAGAGCCTTTGCAAATAGCGTTAGAGGAGCCATTCAGCAAGCTGTATCGATAACACAGGGCCGAAATACATTATACCAGCGGAGGTATGACCAGCTTGCGTACGATATTCGAAGCTCTGAATTGGTCATCCGTGATTTGAAATTTGAAATGGACAAGGAGAGCCACATACGAAATATGAGAAATTTACATCTTAAGCTATCTCAGCCAAGCGAAACTGAATCTATCCGGGAGGAAGTTCATTCCTTGGATATAGCCATCCGAGACATCGCATTGGAGATTGAACGCCAAACGCGAAAAGCAGAAATGGCTACTCTCAAATCACAACTGGACATGATACAGACAATGCTGTCTCACCAGTCTCCGAAGGCGGATACGACAACTCACGAAACATCTTTAGCCTCTAAGCTTACTGCCGCAAAACCTCATTCTGCTCTCTCCTCTGCTACCACTGAATTACAGAGACCTCCAACGAAAGTTTCTCCCCAAATAAAAAAGGTCTCAGCTATCAACAAATACTCTTCTTCAAATATTCGCAAATCCTACCAATCTTTCCCGTCTAATTGAGCGCCATGCCATCCCTAAAATAATTTATCCATCCTCACACTGCCTTCACCTCCTTCATCTCCTTTACCCAATAACCTAACCAATCTTCGGGGCATATTGCCATAATCTTGTTCATATATTATATGTGGTCTATGTTAGGATATTTGCGATGACCTACGCTCTAGAACTTGGTTAAATGTACTATTATCGTTTAGGGAGGTTCATCAACACTTGAAAAGCGGACCCGGCGTTATGTATTATAGATTCAATGAAGGCCTAGCACAAGGCGATATGACAAACATACATCCCAGCTTGCTTTTATAGGTCATTGGTAAAAATTGGCATGTATTGCAGAATGTCTGTATCTGTCTAAGGACTCTTTTAGAATTCTATAACTTTTTTCGTCCTTGTGAGTGCAAGTAAATAGAGCCACTTTAGTGTCTTGATAGCAGATAAAGACCATTGTAGAGGGTGATAAATTCACGATCACTCTCTATAATCCGGTATAAAGGTCCTCATCCGAGCCTAACACTTGTGATATCATTAATACCGATAGGCCGTGGCAAAGCCTTCATAAGCTACAGACAAAGAAAACCAAGTATCATAAATGATCCTAGTTAATTCTCTGCCTGTCTAAATGTTGTAGCGGTGGTCTTGACTAGATTCATCTTTTTTTGCTCGCATCAGATCGCATCTTTTCCTTTCGAGATAGTCTTTCGCCAGCTCGAATCAATGCGGACCGAATTTCTCCTTTCGGGAAACTGGAGATATCATAGTACGCAGGAGAAATGTCCTATAGTAAACATGTTAGAAAGCTAGGAAAACAACACAACGAAAAGTATAGGAAAAGCCTAATCAGTAAGGAACTTACTAAAAGCCATTCTCCCTTAACTGCGGTGACAGTTCTAATAAAGCTCTTCGTGGTCAAGACAAACTCGTTGTACAAGACCCACTCAGCCTCATATCCCAAAACTGTGCTAGGATGCAATAAAACCGGCTCATTGTTATCCTTGACAGTACGATACAAGTTTTTCCCTTGACTCTCTTTCTTGGCAACCTGCATGAAAAATCCAGCTACAAGTGCGCGACGGATGTTCTCATAATATTTCTTATCTTCAAATGGGGTAGAGACTAACTCAATTTCTTCCCGCTCCATTATACGCTGAAGCTGTAGTCGGACATTATCAGCGGACTGCAGAGATCGTAAGGAGAGGAAATGATCATGGCACCATTGTCGAGGGTTAGCTTGTGCTTCTGGCCCCTTGAATGCATGATAGGCATTAAGTAGAGTAAGATGATCACCATCTGGATGGGAAAAGAGCGCCTTCATTTCATCTGCACGCTTCCGCTGCGCAACAGGGCGAACAAAGATTTGGGGTACTGAAAGTAAGGAAGTAATAGACAAGATTTCATTGGAGCAGTAGAACTCTGGGGAGCTTATCAGCATCACAGCCAGAGCAGGGTCCAAAGGAAACTCGGAGGCTAATCGACCAAGAGCAGTGAGGTTTCCATCGTCATCTAGACATGCCAAATAGTTGAGCTCTTCTAAGGCTCGCATCAGGGTTTCAGGAGCTGGAGGATCCATGAGATCAAAGTGAACCAAGTCATCAATACCAAGTTTCTTTAAATCCAGAACCGTGGAAGATAAGTTTGAGCGAAGAATTTCCGGATACGTTTGTTCGATAAGTTCCTTTTTGAAAGCGCCTTCAGTGTAGAGACGGAAACATTTCCCAGGTCGAGTACGACCAGCACGACCAGCACGTTGTTGAGCTGAGGCCTTTGAGATAGGGGATACAAGCAGAGACTCCACACGAATACGTGGGTTGTATACTTTCTGCTTAGAAAATCCTGGATCTACCACATACACGATACCGTCGATGGTAAGTGAGGTTTCTGCAATGTTTGTGGATATAATGCATTTCCTTCCAGGTCTTCCCTTGGGTTTTCGGGGCGGTGGTGGGGGCTCGAATATACGCTGTTGCATGGCTGGAGGTAGAGAACCATACAAAGGATAGACTTTCATTGGCCCGGCATCGACTTCACGGATCATCTCGTCTACTTCGAGAGAAGTCTTGCGAACAGCATCTTCGATCTCCTCCTCTCCCGTTAAAAACAGAAGGATGTCACCTTCTGGCTCGGTAGCATGAATCTGTAGGACCGTGCGGATGGCAGCTTCAACATAGTCCTGCTCTGGTTCGGGGGTATAGAATATTTCTACTGGATGGGTTCTTCCAGGAACCGCCAGTAATGGCGCATCAGAAAAGTAGCGTTGGAACTTCTGCGCATCCAAAGTAGCAGACATGATAATAAGTTTCATATCTGGACGACGCAGTACGACTTCCTTCAAAAGACCCATGAGGACATCCGTTGCCATTGTACGTTCGTGAGCTTCATCGAGTATGATGGTGCTATACCGCTTGAGATCGTGATCGTGCATGGCTTCGCGCAACAACATACCATCCGTCATATACTTGAGTATGGTTTTGGAGCTGGTCTTGTCCTCGAATCGAATGCTATATCCAACCTCTTCTCCAAGGTTAACGTCCATCTCATTTGCAACACGCTCGGCAACTGACATAGCAGCAACTCGTCGCGGTTGGGTACAGGCGACCAACTTTCCTCGAAACTGAGGAAGATCATCGTATAGCACGAATTGTGGAATTTGCGTAGTCTTTCCCGAACCGGTTTCGCCAACGAAAACAAGAATTTGCGATTGTTGATAGAGCTTGAGGAATTCATTCCTACCTGAATATTAGTATCATGTATTTGAAAAGGAAGAGAATGCTGATATGGCAAACATTACCTCTGCTGATGAACTGGGAGATCGCGTCGGGCCCTGAGTATGGATACATATCGGCTGGAAAACGGTTTGCCCGTGAAAGGGTTCACACTGCCGCTTTCAACCTCATTCGCCATCTCTGCAGTGGTCTCATGTCTTCTGAAAGCTGCGAGGGGTGATTCATCGTTTATCCCACTGGATGCATCCTCGTTTTCATACATATGGGCGAGGTACGGGTTCGATCGAGGGTCCGATTCTGCCGTTGTCTTTAGTCTTTTGGCGCGAGACGCATTCTCACTGTCACTCCGAGCTGCCATGGTGACGAATGGACGTGACTGTGAGGTCTCCTGGTCTCAAGTCGCCGTCGAGTTGCAGGATGTCCGCGTTCAACAGCTGGCGTCGTTTTGGTTGCTTGAAGTCTTCAAAAGATAAAAAAATATTCCGAGAGAGAAATTTTGGCGGGAGGTCCGCGATAGGAAGGTAAGCCGATAACTAGAGTCGCGGCAAACTTGCCAAGTCTGGCGCCCACCACAAAATTTAAACTATTTTAACTATCTTCCCCCCCGCGACGTCAAATTTGAAAACCGTTGAAAAGCCGGGTGCGATATCAAAATATTGACAGCCGTCCCACGGAGTGAGGGCATGGCTGTTAGCTTCCTGTGCTTTTATCTGTCCCGGAGCTAGCTATAGTTGGCCAGCCTCAGATTTGAACTTGGACTTGCACATTATCAGCTGGCGAGTTTGGTCCTAACCTACTAATCAGTCTAATAGCCAAGGGGGTTTGATGGCAATTGATCACTCAAAGTATTAAGGTACTGGACAGTAACTCAGAGACTGGATGCTCATCATGGCCCAGGCTGAGGGAACTCCGCCGACATTCGTCGTCGGGCAACATGAATCTGAACGGAAGTTCCGTATCACTAATGAAATATCTCAATTGGCTCATGATAATGGTGTATGATATTTTCCTTCCTATACACACCCTTGACACACTTGTTTCTAACGAATATTTAGTATGATATGCTTACAACACCAATAACGACACCGCATTTTCAATCGCGTGTCCTTTCACTATTGTCTATCCATCTTTCAACAGTTAATCAGCCAGTCCAGGACGTAACTGGCACGTATTTCACCTCGCGTAATTCTGCACCTCTCAAAATACCCTCATTTACGACCGCAGATACGAACCTACGACCAGAAGGAACCAACAGTTATGTGGTTGCCGTGTCAAGTCGATGGATAGACATGTGTTCACCAGACCCATTGATTGCTGATATATCTCGCCAAGTTCTCTTGTTGGAACTGGCTTATGCTGCATTTTGTGGTGTTCATCATGCTATCATTCCTGGCCCAAAACTACACCATGGAAGCTCACATGGGTATGGACTGATTTACTATGCTCGAGCAATTCAAGAGGTTTTAACAACCGCACCATATATTCGCATCAATATCTGGTTGCCTGTGGTTGACAATCCCGAATTGGAAGCGGACCAAATGGGAGATATTTCTCCGTTTGCTAGGCCCGAATATTTGGGTAACTCAATGCCTGAAGTAACCCCAAAGTTAGACTTGTTTGGAACCTGGAATGCATGGAACATAATTAGGAAAGTCTGTAAATATCATACAAGGTTAACAGTAGGTAAGAAAAATGTATTTACCCAGAAGATCATTGCACGCAAAGTCCTCTTTTGCCCCAGCCTCCATACAAGCTTATGGTCAATCCCTGCTACCTCGTTGACTCTACCATTGACTTGTGCTAACTATCATGTTTAATATAGCCCTATCGTTACCCCGACAGCTTCCTCCATCAACTGTACAGACAAGGTGGTTGTCGGAGCCTGTTCGTATATTCACACTGACAAGCACTTCGTTCGTGAAAAACCCTAAAAATTTCCCTGTCCTGAGCAAAGCGCATCAGTCGTACATCTTTCGTGCTATGCGAGGAGTCCCTCCATGGATTTTCCTCTGCGATGTTGGGTCAATACCTGGATTGGAGAAAATAGACGGCCATGCTCCGACACCTGCTGAGGCAGCACAGGCTCCAAAGAAAAAGGAGGACCTGGTGCCCCATCTGTCATATATACGAAATCTAGAGAGGAAACAGCCACAGTGGACTCGCGTGGAAAGCTTCACTCTAGGATATCAAGATTACTTGCAAGCGCCACTGCAGCCTCTCACGGTTAACCTTGAAAGCGTGACATACGAGGTTTTCGAAACGGATCCAGTCAAGTATGAATGGTACGAGCGGGCTATTGCGAAAGCTCTAAAGGACTGGGGGCTTGAAAAGAAACCGACATCTAGTCAGGATGGCCGGGTGGTACTAGCTGTAGTCGGTGCTGGGCGTGGGCCTTTGGTCTCTAGGGCCATTCGAGCAAGTGTTGAAGCTGGAGTTGACATTGAGTTATGGGCCTTAGAGAAGAACCAAAATGCATTTGTTCACCTACAGAGGCAAAACGAGGCTGTCTGGGGCGGAAGTGTGACTCTGGTGCATTCTGATATGAGAAGCTGGAAAGGACCGGTTCGAGAAATCCAGGCTGAAGGTATGTCTTGATTCTGACCAAATGATCAATAAGAAATATTAGTGGAATTGATGTTCAAGAAGAATCATTCTAATATACTTTCATACTTTTAGATTTAGCAGCCGAAACCAAACCTTCGAAAGTTCACTACCCAATCGACATCATCATATCTGAGCTATTGGGTTCGTTTGGTGACAATGAACTATCACCGGAATGCCTTGACGGTGTTGAGCATCTTTTAAACCCCGTTCATGGAATCTCAATTCCTACTTCATATTCATCGCATATTACACCCATTTCGGCGCCTCGTCTTTATGCGGATATTCAGAATCAGACCAAATCGAATCCGGCCGTTCCAGAAACCCCTTATGTTGTCATGCTACATGCATTTGACTATCTTTCAACCACTGCGCCTGCAATTTCCCACCTTAGTAGCGTGGCTTCTAGCGCTGCGGCCTCTACTTCAATTTCCACTCCTTCTGCAACTCCACCACCCATGAAAGAGGTAGATACCCCGATTATTCAGGCAGCCTGGAGTTTCTCACACCCGAATCCGAACATACCAGAGGAGTCTAGGTTATCAGCTAGACCTTCAAACTCTCACAATACTCGCCAAACTCGACTAACTTTCCCCTGCACTGAGGGCGGAACATGTCATGGTTTGGCAGGATATTTCGAAACAGTGTTATATCGGGATGTTGAATTGTCGACCAACCCTCTAACTATGGATGCTAAAAGCAAGGATATGATAAGCTGGTTTCCTATCTACTTCCCATTGAAGGTACGTAAGCCTAGGTTACATTTTAGCTCCTATCTGTGCTAATCATACCTTTCTACAGAGCCCTTTGTATATCCCTGAAAACTCGGACATTGTCCTAACCATGTTTAGACAGACAGACGACCGGAAAGTCTGGTATGAGTGGTTTGTGGAAGTATTTATGCATCAAAGTGGGATAGGTCTCCGAGGCGGTAGCCAGCCCAAGCGGATACGAGTAGGAATGAGTGACTTGCATTCTAGTATTCAAGATGGATGCCTGATGTGAGATAAAAGGGGACGTTGTTTCTTTTGGCATATCTGGAAGCGTTATGCTGTTTTGCAAAATGTCGAGTTATTTTTTGGCGAAATCATGAAAATTACAAGAGTCGGTAATTCCATCTTGGGTGATTTGGAAAACTATCTCCCATTGTTTGCAGTGCAATTGAGAGTAAAAATAGAAGCTAAATAACAAACGGAGTTCTATGAATCAAATAAAACTAGTGATATCTATGCTCCCACGCCAGTCAATCCCTGTCGAATGGCCAGGACACTATCAACAATAACAGCATCGATGCCCTCATTGACTTGGATCTACAGACACAATTGTGGTAAGCAGCGGGACAGCTTGAATAGGGGGTGGAAATTGACACCTGGAAATGAAAATACCTTGACATTGGCTGGATCATTGTTTATGGTTCCGTAAGAAACGCATACCAAACCTGACTCCTTTACAACTTTGACAAGCCTGGGGCTTAGCACCAATGGCTCAGCATTTGTAACGATTCCTAGCAGGTTCCACCTAGAGGCAAACCGAATAGCCTCCTGGAGACTGCTGGCTCTAATATCGGCAACGGGGCTCACTCCGGAGTCTGTAAGGAAGAGAACGGGAATGGAAGGTTGTTTGAAAGAAAGGAGGAGACAAATGTCTGGGTTGAAAGATGAGAAGATCATGTTTCTTCCTTCACCATAGTCATAGACTATACGAAGAACATTGTCGACGAAGGAGTTTAGTTCCACGGCATATGTGTCCATTTCTTCCTCTTCACTTTCATGAAGCATGGGATATTCTTATCGGGCAGATTAGTACTGGGATCCATCATGTGCATTTAAAACAGTCAACTCACTCAATTCCATATTGAACCCAGCAGATTTTGGTAGCTCTTTGAAGAGCTCCTCAAGAGTTGCAAAAGGAGCTTGTATGTGGTCGCCACGCGAGTTCCCTTTAAAACCCTTCTTTTTAAAGTCTCTGGTATGCTTCATTCTTTCACTAAGATTTGGAACATCGAGTTCTTCACCGACTGACATGGATCGTGGTCGCGTCTGCAAGAGACGTGGAAATCCATCTTCTGAGTTTGGCGTTCCGCTATGGTTGGAAGACTGCTTTACGGCTGGTTTCCGGCCATCACTGATGTGGAGGAACTGATAATTTAGGTCAGCTTCTGGGTACAAAACAAGGGTCTACCGTCCAAGGGTGGAGGGGAGCAGTACCTGTTCCAATGTAAGGGTATGAACAGGTGCATCAATTCCTGTCTCACTAACAAGGAAGTCATGATAAATAACGGGAACATGATCCTTAGTTAGTTGAACATCTTCAATTATATGTTAGCATTGCCCCAACAAGGGAAAAGGCTGGTAGACTTGCGTACCGAACTATATAGACGAGGAGCATTTAGTAAAATAGAACATTACCATAACAATATTTTAGGATAGGGCGTGATACTCACCTCAACATATGAAGCACCCAAGTTTGCAGCCGCGATAAAAGACTGGGACGGCTGTTAGGAAAGTCAAATATTTGCAGCAGATTGAGACAAACCTGGACAGTATTTTCTCCCAATTGCAAAGAATGGCGCCCGGCAATATTCTTTCCGAGACCTGATATAATCCCCAGTTAGATAAGAATAAAGCAAAACTGACGATTAATATATGTGTCTTACCTCGATGACCGATGACCATAGGCGATGTAACGCTCTTCCAATATGTTTGTTCTTCTGTAATCGACATCTTGGGATGGCTGAAGGGTGTAATAACAAGAAAATTGAAAGTCACGGAGCCGATAATCTCAAGGGTCTTCGCCGCTATGAGTGGAACCACAAAGTCTCCCTGCAGGTTGGATCGGCTTGACCCAACAGTTGGCTTGAAACTAGACAACAAAGCTACGCCACGACCGAAAACTTGATCTTTAGAGCCTGCGTATGTAGGTACCAAGTCGAAGACAATTTTGGTTTTGCTGGAGTCTGCGGTATGGAAGACTATTGGCTCTGTTGAGATGTTGTCTTGGACAGGCAAATCAATTATCTGCGGTTCACCTTGCGCGCCACTTGCAGAGACAACGATTGAAAGCGCGGTATCGAGCTGTGTCAGATGGGCCTCTGCCATGGGAATCCGTTCAAGGCTAACAGGATCTGCGGTCTTTCTCATATCCATTGTTCCCAGGCTTACGAGAATCATACTTTTATCTGTCAAGTAGCGATGGCCGAATGATTTTACCGCATCTGGTGCGCGGTCTTTCGAGTTTCGATCATTCAATGAAGACTGAGATGGAGGAGATGAGGATACCACAGATTGCGATGCGGCATCTGACTCAACGCTGCCGTCCGAAGTAGCCATGGCTTCATCCAAAAGGCGGGCGATATCGATATGGCCTCTGAGTGTTGCGTGTTCCTTGGCAGTCCATCCAGAGGAGTCAGTGGTCTCTAGGTTTGCCCCTGCTTCAATGAGGAGTTTGACGATATTGATGTTGCCATCCACAGAGGCAATGAACAATGGAGTCCAAGCGTAGGTATTCTCCGCTAGCTCAATATTGGCTTTTTGCTCATCCGATCCCTTGAGGAGAGCAGCAGCACACTGATCGTGGCCAAATCGCGCGGCTGAATGAAGGGCTGTTTCACCTTGTTCATCTTGATAGTTGATATTCACACCTGCCTGGACCAAGAGGTGGACTATATCAACAAAGTTCGCCTTTGTAGCAAGAGCCAGAACGGCGCTGGATTTTAGAATGTTTCTTCGAATTGCCGTCTTATCCTGATTACTGCCTTTCCAATTTTCTGAATCCAGGAGCGTCTTGGTAGTTAGTGGATGGCCACCGACTACGCTTAGATGGAGCGGTGCCATGCCATCCTCGTCCTGCCAAAGTGGGCCATCGATACCTTCGGATACGTCAAACATATCCCATTCCTGAAGGTGCTCGATTATCACATCACAGACGGCTTTAAACCCGTACTGAGCTGCGAAGTGCAAGGGGGTCTTTCCTGATATGTCTCTTGCGAGAAGCGCGGGGCGCTGGTGAGGAAGTAGATTGTCAAGGAGATATTGTAAGAACATCACGACAGGGCTGTCGCGCCCAATATGAGTTGGGTGGTCTGATTCCATGACAACTGGCCTCTGGGGCTTTAGTGTTGGTGTAGTTGCTGGTGTGATATAATTTGATGTTTCTGTAGGAAAGTTCAATACCATTGTGGCCGAAGATTCAGGGTCAACTGTTGATTGCGACCGACCAATTGATATGACCAGACGATGGATGCAATTTCGTTTGTTAATGTCGTCTTCTTCCTCGAGGGAAGTGACTCGTTGTAGGAGAGAGGCAAGACAGGCCTTTGAACGGTAGAAGATCGACCGTTGCTGCAGGGACATCAAGACTCTGGTGAACACTGCCTCTCCGATCCCATCAGTAGCAGTTTTGAGAGTTGGCAGAAGATCTAGAAGAGCATTGGTATCGTCTCGTCTAAGAGCATCATCCACAGACAGTAGGAGGCTGGTAGGAAGGTTAAGGATTACTCCGGATGAAGGTTTCTTCAATGAAAGGGCTGAGTGGGTGGAGCTATTATCATCCATGACCTTCTCATGGCCCAGAACAGAGAGCCACTCATTAATGGAATTCACGGAATGTAAAAGACGGGAGTTTGTCGCGAACATGGCAGGATTAACTTTGGTTGAGAGGTATTTTATCTGTGCATTGGCCCCGGGAAGCTTCTTATCCAATTTCTTGGTAATTTTGATGAATCCTCGACGGTTTACCTCGCCATACCACTGCAACTTGCGCAGCTGGCCACGGAGCTCTAACAGAGCAGCCAACAGGTCCTCGGTGTCTTCTGAATCCAGGTGGGACGGTGAGGTCTCCGGGTGACCGAATCTGTCCTCAAGAAGCTTCAGACGGCGGGAGCAGTCAGAAAACTTCTTATTGTAAAAACTATCAACATCCTCGAGGTTTCGATCAAGGCTGTAGAAGAAGCCTGGGGTTGTATTAGTATAGTCTAGGGAGGCACATCGGAATAGTCTTACCAGCTAAATCGGGGTCATTCCCCATCGTCTTAGCTTTGACAGCTGACTTTATCAGTTTCTTCAGGGACTTGTATTTGATATAGGAGGAGCTCCATTCTGGAACCATGTTCCGGGGTAGATTGCGGCCGAACTTCATACTGGAAAATCTGACCTGTTCCGGCTATTTCTGGTGGTTTTCTGTTTTCCAGGTAGAAAGGGAGGGAAAAAAAAGTATAGATCCTAATTATTCCTCTGCTTGTTGGGGTTGTCAAAGCAATGGTCTCCTTCAAAACGATTCAAGGTAAGTCTATTCGAGGCGCGGAAGGTGAAAGATGTGTAGAAACTAGGGATTGCTGCTGATATACTGACGAAAGGAACGTTCTGGGTATATATAGAGATATCGAACAGGAACAGCAGTAAACTAAGCAGCGGATCCGCGCAAACGGACTCTTGGAGAAACTGAAGCCATGTTGAGAGGTTGAGATGGGTGTGCTGGCGGGTATAGTTTATATATTGATTGCGTGGAGTGACTTTGGGAGTACTCCGTACTGGGGATGTATTTCTTGGAAAAGACAAATGTGTCTTAAAAGGTTTATGCTTGGTTGTACGGTACCGAAGCGTCCGTATGCACTGCTAGACCCAGCCGACGGCCGTCTTTAGGGGGTTTCTCGAGGTCGAAAAGCGCTGGTTTGTCAAGCTATCAAAACCGTCAGCCAAGGGGGGTCCTCTTGCAGCCAACCCCGGCCGTGCAGCGGCATCTAGGACAACCCCCAGACGCCCCGGCCAGCAAGCAGAACGCAAGCACACAACAGGGACCAGCTTACCGTCTGTCTGATGATCCCAGGAGCAGAACTGCGCAGCCAACTCGACAACGCCGTGCAGACAAGGGCCGAGTCCGCTAATTAGTTAGCTGTAGTGAAGGTCGGCTAAAAAGACTCGGTCGATCGCCAGCAGTGAGGCGGTGAGTGGCTGCTCGAACTTGTTTCTGGCCACGACGAGGTCGCAGGCGGGCTACTACTGTCGAGTCAAAGGCGAAGATGAAGCTGCAGCAGGCGAGAAGAAGACGGCGTCGGGGATGCTTGGAGATGATTACGGGGGAGACAAAGGACGGAGTTTTTTATTGAGAGTCACCAACTAGTTAGTCAACTTAACTTACTAGTTAGTGGCCAAGCGACGGCGACGAGGCAAAGAAACAACACCTTGACAACAGCAGCCACCGTCAAAGAGTCAAAACCGACACGGCCAGGAGGGGCTTGTTTGCTCTTCTGCTGCTGCTGCTGCTGCTGGAGGGTACAAGGGGGCTCTGTTCCGTCTGCTCCGGCTGGTTGTCGACTCGGTCTGCGCTCGCTGCTCCTCGGCCGTGATATTATAGCAGGACCCTACGAAGCGTATATATACTGGCCTCGAGGCCGGTGCACCCCTGAGAAGAGCAAGCAAACGACGTGACCGGAGCTGCTGCTCTGTTTGGCCCGCTGGCAATCCAT